AAGCTATATAAATTATTCGTGCAGCTTTTTACGAAAAGTTGAGCAGTAAGGGATCTTTGCTTCAAAACTATTTATCAATTTTCAATTTTTAATAACATATTTAAATTCAACAATGTTAATGTTTTAACATTCAACGAAAAAAAACTGCTCAAAAAGCTACAAAGACGCAAGATTTATGAGGGATTATTTCTTGTGGTGGAAGGATATTTAGCAGATAATTCTGCAAATCTGCACATTTATTAAATTTAATGTCTTGTAACTTTAGCCTCACATACTTTTAATGTCATTATACAATTATAGCCTTTTGATGAGGGGATCCCTCGATATATCCATGGTACCTGATCCAACCTCTGATGCTTCGGAAGTCCGTGTTTGCTCTGCTCCTATTTTGTATTGTTTTATGGACTTTGATATTGAATACTGTTCGTTATCTCCATATCCTTCTAACGGATAAACTGGTTCCCGGCCCGCCACTGCGTTTTTCACTTCATTTTGGGGTCCCCTGGGCGAGGGTGGGAACAAAACTATCTAAGGTGATACAAGTGTACCAAAATCAGAGCCTGTCAAGTTCTCCATTTGTTTAGTGTTTATGTTGTTTGACCCTTGAGATTGTAACCTTGAAATAAAAACAAAAACATCTTCAAGGAGGGGGTGTACATGTTTAAATATCAATAGCTGTCAATATCTTAATATATATTCCTATGTCCAAATGGACTCTTGACCTTTGATCTCGTTATCTCAAAAAATTAATAGGGGTCATCTTATCCTTAAGGGTTATCTTGAACTTAGGCCGATGTCAGTCTAGAAAATGATTGTTAATTAAGATATTAGTCTGGCAAGATCTTTTTATGTCGTAATAGAAATAGTAGATTGACTGTGATCTTTTGACCAAAGATTTATTGGGATCTTCTTCAGAAAGTATCAGTGATCTAGTTTTGATGTTCGTCAGGCAATTGGTTCTCAAAATATTAAGCGGATAAAACTTGGTAAAGCAACATGCTTCTCTTTAAAGCTGAACACGATTCGTACATCGGCATGTGCCATTTTCGATATTACTGGTACTATATATGATATAAACACCGGGGTATACTCTTCTCATTCGTTACACTTGACTGATTTATTATCACGGGTATCGGAGCGTGGAATAGCGACCCGTGTTCGCACTGATTATCTTGCATTCCCTTTGATTCTAATCTATTGGAGTTACGTGTATTTGTGTTTGTTTGTATACAGTGGTGTACATGTACAGACCGGCCTATGCGACTGTTGTAAGACTCTTTGATATCTTTACTCTCTTGCATAAATAGAATAAGTAAACAATTATTTTTGTTGCTCCCAAGTGCTATTTATCACATGTCCGTCTACTCGTAACGATTGCTTATACTGAACACTGTCAAAGTGAGTAGCCCTATGCAGGGGTCCTAAGATATAGCTAGAGCCTAATCGAATATGGCAGATAAATATATTTTCTTAGTATGTAAAAAAGTAATTTAATTGAGTGTACATATACTTGCAAATCAAAAAAAAAAAAAAAACAACAAATTTATATGTTAGCCCAAGTAATATATTATTAGGTTTTAAGCACCCAGGAGGTAATTTGTTGCAGGAAAAATGTTGGAAAAAAATATCGATTCGTGAGGTGGCAGAAGCCATTTCAAACTTATTTTATAACTTTCTTAAAGCTCGATATATTTGATTTACCTTTGAGTCGCTACCAGTGATCATGGCTTTGTTATTGGCTACATCGTGAGAAATCAAATCTCCGCAAGAGATGCAAATGAAGTTAATTAACTCATCATCAATTAAGGTTCAGCAGGAAGAAAGCTGTGTGTTTCATAACAATTTGTTATAAATTAAATTATTATCTGCAAATAATTTTTTAAATATATATATATAATGTTTACTCTTGAGAACGATTCTAATTTGTCTCTTTTTTAATTGAATAATGATATACTACTATTTTGTCATCAATTACAAAACGTTAAAATCAAAAGACATTATCTTAAAAAAAAACAACAACATTATCTTCATTAATATAAGAATGGTGGATTCGTTGTCTCTTTTTGTTTGGTCTCCAAAGCGAAAAAGGTTTATTCCTTTAAGGTATCGCGGAGGGTTCCATATTTTGACCTACACTATGCAAATGGTCATTTAATAGTAAGTCATATTTCGTATTTCTTCAATATTTCAAACATATGACAAGGGGTCTAATTAGCCATACGTACAACAAAACGTAAATAAATTCATTACTGTATTTCATAATTTCATATAAAAAATATAAAGAAACAAGATATATTTGTGAAGCACTATGCGCCCAGGGGCAACAAAGTTCAAAAAAGCTATTTTTATCATATAGGTCTCAGACAAGGTCACAAGGTCATTGACCTTATTATGACGAAAGATCATAATAGCTATATTTAGCACATACACTGTAGGTCACAGTCAAGGCCATAAAGTCATTGACCTTGGTGCCCTTTGTAAGAGCTTAATTAGAGTACGCATAGGAAATTTGAAGTATCTAGTCTACCTCTCATGCTTCAAAAGTTAGGTGAAAGTTCGAAAAAGCTTTTTCTAGCATGTATAGGCCATAGACATTTGAAAGAGTTTAATTAGTGGAACCTTTATCTCTCATGGTTCAAAAGTTATGGCAAAGATCAAAGTTGACAACAGACAGACAAACGGTCAAGACAAAAACAATATACGCACCGGATCTATGAATCCAAGCGCATAAAAACTTAGTTCAATATTACTTGCAGGCTTAGGGGATCCAGACATCCTAATTATAATTAACATCTGCAGTTAATGAATAGAAACATAGTGGTATTCTAGAGGTTAAATTCTTCAATAAGAAAATTGACATTTAGATATTGATGTTATCTTTTTTATTAACAATAATTTCATTGATAAATGGATTTAATAAATTATATAAGAGTATGTCATAATAGAAAAATACATTTGGTTTTGGTATTACCTGGTGTCAGAGTATGGGGTCCTTTCCCTCTCTTAAATGAATATTTTTAAAATAAATTGTGCCGAAAGCCATGTATTTAACTTTTTTCAAGAAAAGTTTGATAGAGAGAAAGAGAGAGTACTGATAGCGCTATATACAAAACGGAAATGACGTAATGTTTGTATCGGGATATATAATTATGCTCTTTGAAAAATTTGTTCTCTTTCGGGATAAAAGAAACACCTTTTTATGTGTATTACTTTTAAAGATCGTTTTAAAAAGAAAACAACTGTATGAAATTGATTATTGAACACCCCCTTTATACACATAATATCAGTTCAGATTTTTGTACAACTTGATAGAGGAATGGTTAAGATTGATTGATTGTATGTTGTTTAACGTCCCTTTCCAATTTTTTTTTTACCCATATGGAGACGTCATCACTCGTCGGTGGAGAGCTGTAAATTTTGTCCTATACTCGACACTCAGGGCTTATTGAGCAGGGAGGGATATTTTTCGTGCCAGAACCTACTGCAAAAGCACTCGAAATGGTTTGGCACACTACTCTACAACACGGGTACTTTTAGTCTTTCTGTCTATTTACAACACATCGAAAAAGGCTTGTTCGCGAATATTAATCGTTGCCAACTAGTTTCCCCCTGGTAAATCGCAAAATAAAGTTGTCGCGAATAAAAGTTGGTTTACATATCTACAAATCAAGTTCAACTTTCATAACAAAAGACCTTTCCATTTGAGAGTTATTGTCCTTAGACTTAAATTTTTAAAATCAAATAATACACATGCACTGTATATTTTCCGGACTTCCTTAAAAACTAATTCAATATACTTGAAGATGAGCAGATGATTTTCGTTGAGTTCCCTTTTATTGATGACTAACAGATCAGGTTTAGATGCATGTTGATGGATTATTTCTCACTGCTAAGTTCTGACTTAATAACTTCGAAAGTTTCTATACCAAGATGTTCTCATATTTTTTCTGGTGTTTTTAGTAAAAGGACGTGGAGACATTCCTTCAGATGAGAACGTATAAACCGAGATCCCGTGTCCCACTAGGTGCTGGCACGAAAAAGATCCCTTGCTGCTCAATGGCCCCCGAGTGCTGAGCAAATGACAAAAATTTGCAGTTCTCCACCGCCGCAAGTGGTGGCGTATGTGAAAAATTCTCGAGAGGGACGTTAAACAACATAAAATCTATCAATCAATCACTTAGAAATTATAACATGTTTTTCAGTCTTGAGCAATATGATACATGTACATGTATTTTATTTCCGTTTCATGCGTTCTCATTGCCATTATCATTGGACATTCAAATACAAACATAAGAGCTTGAGTTTCTTCGAGGAGGCATTTGTGTTAATACTAATAAACGCACTTAATTTCACTTATAATTAGATACATTAGCATTAAAGATGTGGTTAATAATAACCAAATAAGGGAGGCTGTAGATATATTATGTAAACATCTAAGCAATGAAATAGCATGTATCCCTGCTTATATATCAAAAACAATTATCACATTGACATTTAATCGTATTTCTTGATTAACATTAAATTAGCAATAAGGTAACATATTTTTGATTTGTATTAATTTTCAGAAAATTCGGAATCACAAAACTTAAACAAAATCAAGGACATCAATATTTTTTAACGTCATAGACGACAGCTGCTTTTTCAATAAATATGAAACGTATAAAATATATTGACCTTGTCTTTCGTCATTTGCAAAATTATTTTGTTAAAAACATTCCGATGGTACACACAAGCACACAGGTGCATCATATTTATGTTTGTGACATTTTATTAAATATGAAGATAACAGACATTATTTAAGCTCAGACCGAGTAAATTTAAGCAAAACATATAGGAAGAAGAGCAAATACGAACACCACACAAAACCAGTCTGAAGTGGGATCAGGTGTCCTGGAGGAGTGAGCATCCCTGTCAATAAGCCAAACAAACCTTGTGTTCCTTCATGTATTCTATTCAATAACGTTTGGGCTATTCTTAAAAAAATATGAAAAATAAAAAAAGGAACTCTGATATTTTATTGTCATGTAATACAATGTACAATTACCAAGTAAAATCTGTCCAAGAGATAATAGATCATAATAAATAATTAATAAAAACCGTAAGCAGAACAGACCAATTTTTATGTATGATATATAGCAAAAAGAAATAGTATACTTACAAAGAAAAAGGCACATAGTAATTGATATGTGGTATTAAATATAATAAGTCATAGAAATATAATCAAATACACCATATTCATGTACATATTATAAACCCAGCTGTATAGCAACATATGAGTCATTTATATTGCAGAATATATTCTACCCGAGAATACTGAAAACAGAACCAAGTTTTTTTTTTACAATCAATAATTTCCTAACTGAAGATAACCTTGATTGATACATACACACAGATGTGTATCATCCAATATATTTTTTTTAGAACATATAAAGTATTTATCTATGAAAAATTATAAAAATAATATATTTTGCAAGGTTAATAAGGTATACTTCTTTTCTAATGGCATTTAAATAGGGAGAAAAAAAATAAATTCCTTGAAATATATCCCCTCTTTCCTTTTTCTAGTTTACTCTTTTCTACTGTGTTTGAACAGTTCTACTGTAGTACAATGCAATTCTGTTTTATTTTATTTTCCCTTCCATTCCTTGTAACATTTTGAATAAATATATCGTGGTTGAAAATAAAAAAAACACGTACACTACATATATCTAGCACTACTGTAACAATACAACAAATATTCAAACACAGGGGCATCTTATCCCTTCTGTTCTCTAAATGAGGAGTAGAGAACAGAGCGGATAAGCTGACCCCATGATTCATAGCTCAAAAGTTTATATGACACAATGGTTACACATATAGCAGTGGTTAAAGAAAACAGAATTCTATGCAGTGTCCTTCAATTAATTTTTCTTCAAACATGAACAAAAATAAACAAAAAAAAAAACAAAAAAAAAAAAACAATGAATAAATCTGAAAGCACAGTTTCTGATTTTCAGCATTTCCTTTTACTTTTTTTTTTTATCTCTGAGAAACAAAATATCTACAATTTTCATCTAAAAAAATAATTAAATCCCCATAAAATTACTTGGGAAACATTAAACTTCTGGAATTGAGGCAGATTAGGATATACTTCCACAATGCTGTAACACTATTGTTGAAGCAACAATTCTTTCTCTGGAATAATAATTTGAATCCTACACATGAAATCTCTTTTATGAATCAATGGTACATGTGCATGTGTATGCAAGTTTTTGTGATGGTAATTTTAGCAGTGCTAGTTACTAAAAATGTGTATCGATATATCATGTGGAATGTGCAATGTAACTGTATGCATAAATCTGAGACATTTTCCAAGCACTTTCTTGACAACACTTAGTAAAAGATACAGAAGTTATCTGCTAACAATTCAAGTGAAGGAAGGAGGGGGATGGTAAGATTTGAAAGACTTCCAAATACAATGAAAATATTACCTTAACTTTTTGCTCATAAAAGCTAGTTTACTACAAAAAGATATGGGAGAAAACAACTAAAAATATTGACTGAAGGACTTTAAAATGCAATTATGAAAAATCTTGTTACTTTTTTCAAACTCAAATGAACTGCATGTACATGTACTAATTCTATGCTTCTTGTGGGGGAGGGGGTGGGGTGGGGTGGTGGTTGAGGGGTGGGGGGAGGGGTTTTCTTATATGATTGATAGAGATTCCTAATATGATTTATAATCACAGTTAATCATGGAAATGAACAGGATGTAATCAATCTTCTCTCCCAAAAAGCTTGTTCAACAAGACAACAATGTAACAAAACAAATGCATCAAAAATGTCTGCATCAGCTGATCAAAGAGTGTATACATATATATAGACATATAATTGTATAATAGAATATATAAATATACATCAACAAGCAATAACAAATGTAAAGCCAAAAAAAAAACCATAGCAGCTGTACAATAAATGTATACAATATATAAGGATTTTCTACATTGGGCTTATCAATCTATACTGTTAGCACAGCACATAAAATATACAATAATTATGGAATAAATGGTTTTGTTTATTGTGATATCTAGCACCAGTTTTTTTTAAACCCAGTGCAAGTAAAATTCATAAGGTGCTTAGTACATGTATTAATCTATGAATCCTAGACTAAACCCACAAAATAATAAGCTTCAGGTTCATATGGAGACTCCATCCAAAAAAATAGTAAGGTGCATCTTCATTCTTTTCAATGTGAAATCTGTGATTTACAATGTAAAATGAGTAAATTAATTAAATTAATGATCAAATGTGAAACATCTTATATAGTTTATGGATTTCTTCTACCTGATTAAAATCTTATGTAAAATTACAAACAAAACAGATATTCAAGTAAATCAGTATGTAAGTGCCATATTTTTAATGACACAAAGCATTGAAAAAAAAAATCACTTGTATTTTTTTTGTTCAAAATAAAACAAAAGCCCATAGTCTCAATGCATTTTAGATATAAGTGAAAAAATACTGGTATGTATTGTTGGATATTCAGATTTTACAAAGTGACGAAGCCATGCATGATTATGACAAGTTTAAACAAAGGCCCTTTTCTTGCATGTGCAAGTTTATTACATTCCTTCATGCTCTTTTTGAATTTTCTATCACATGAATTAAGTGTAATTGTCCAGCTTTCATTCATTTCATAAATGCTGGAAAATTAAAGTTGGAAATGAATGAATGAATACATGCACAACTAATGAAGTATACAAACTACAAAATCACATTGCACATTTAATTTCACGATGAACATTACATTTAATATAGATTTATGGTAATATTTCTGGCATGCAAAAGAAATCCAAATTTTCTGTGGGCTAAATCTAAAACTTCACATAATTACGATCCAGTTTCTCTGATAACATAATCATTTTAGCTCTGAGATCATCAAGATACCACTATATTTATTCTCAGCACCTGAATGGTATATTATAAACCAAATACGAGATTTAAAGCAGTTCTTCCATGTAATTCAGACATAAATGCTCACGCAAAAAATGTAATTTATACACATTTTATTTAATTTTGCATGTCCATTATTAAAACCTATTAAAAAACTTTTTTTCCTTCTTCTCAAATATTTTTTAAAAAATCATTTTAATTTATAGTCTAAATTTGATCTTTTCCTCTTGTTCAATACAGGTTTTCTTTTAAAGTGAGTAAATGGTGATTTTAAAGGTATGTAAATGGTGATCTTCCTTTTAAGACTCTGGCCACATTAGAGCAATGTCTGTCCCTTCTTTCTTGAATGTGGCGCCACCATTCACAGCAGTGGGCCGGACCATGACGGTCCGCCGCTTACTTCCCAGCATGCAGTGCACCGGTTTATTGACTGTCACTTTTAATTCCTTGCCAACTCTATACACACACAAAGGAAAAAAAAAATACTGACTGTAAAACACAGAAGACAAAGCAGATTCAGATAATGACTTAATTTAATCACATAATCAATAGCTAGTTCCTTTTTTCAGCTTAACTACTGTAAAAATCAAATATTTTCTTGGAGTCAAAATTTTATGGTTTGAGGAAAAGCTTTTGGTTTCTGGGGATTTGATTTCGAAGAGGAAGAATTTTTGAGTAGTTATGTATCATTTTACATTTCGTGGTTGACGTAAACTTGTGGGCCTCAAAAACAGTGAAAATTAAATCCCCCCCAAAATTTTTGATTTCACAGTATTTTGAAATTGTGCGATCTGTCCAATACAGTGAAAACTGTCTAATCCAACTCCTGAATAAGCAGACAAACTGTGAATTCCAACGTTAAATTTCTTTCCCATTTAACTATTTTCCATGTTTTTGAAACTGTGCAATATTGCACACCCTGTCTATCACGACACAAAATTTGGCTCACAGTGCATGATGGAATAGACAGGTTCCACTGTATTACAAAGCTTTGCATTTGACTACACATGATGCCCATGAGTTCCCACATAATAACGTACCTTTGCAGTTGACTACACATGATGCCCACGAGTTCCCCCGTAATAACATACTTTTGCAGTTGATTACACATGAGGCCCATGAGTTCCCCTGTTATGACATACCTTTGCAGTTGACTAAACATGATGCCCACGAGTTCCCCCGTAATAATGTACCTTTGCAGTTGACTAAACATGATGCCCACGAGTTCCCCTGTAATAACGTACCTTTGCAGTTGACTACACATGATGCCCATGAGTTCCCCTGTAATAACGTACCTTTGCAGCTGACTGCACATGATGCCCATGAGTTCCCCTGTAATAACGTACCTTTGCAGTTGACTACACATGATGCCCACGAGTTCTCCAACTCTCTCTTCCTTAGTAAGGTTTTGGAGACAGAGGACCAGGTCATTTTCGTCAGGTAGATGTATGATGACCAGTTGATCGGAGCCAGGGGTCACAGACAAACCGGTCACCTGTAAAACACAACACAGACATTGTGGAATCTGAATATGCATGAGTTCGTAAGGAATCCCTTGGCTAGCAAAGAATTTGTTGATTTTGTAAACAATGAGATATATATACACTAAAACTGAGTAAAACTTGCATATAACAAAGTTACTGGGACCTATGAAATTACTTTACTATATCTGTAATTTGTTTAATCCATATAAGGCTTAGTTATTTTAACCTTCCATATAATCAAAATATATATATTCGTTTTTGTATAACAAAGTATAAAGAAGAGAATTTGCATGTTTTTTTTTTCAAATATGTAAACTATACAAAATATAAGCTTAGGTTTTGTTATGATTGAAATTTACATACAAAAGCTAAAAGAAAAGAAAATCAGTTCAATCTATCAAATTTTGATATTTGAAAGTTCGTTATGTAAATATATATATCAAAATAACTTTGTTATATCCGTAAATTCAGTTCGTTATAACCTGGGAAAAGGTACAGTGATAAATTTGCACTGTGTTTTAAACACATTTTACTGTATTGTCAAAATACTGATGATCAAATTAAAAGATAAATATTTAAATTTCCATTTCACATTGCTGCATTTTATTGAAACTGAATTCTTGAAAATTATGAAAGGCCTGTAAGTTCTAGCATATGTCCCTTTTTTGAGTGCTACTCCTTATTGACCAATCAAAAGTAACTTACTAAATTGATGAATAAGATCTTTTAATTTTAAATACTACCTAAAATATCTTTAAAAAAACCCCCAACATTTACCGTGTTGATGCCGATCCCTTTCTTCATTGGTTTATATTTCTTCTTTGGGTCCAACTTGTAGATGAATTTATCTGTGACGACAATTGCTCGGTCAGCTGGTTTGTTGTTTTTGTTAAACTAAAAGAAAAAATTTTAAATCCATTGAAAAATTTTCTTATTCCTAAAGATTAACACACTTTTCAAAAACCAAAGTGTATTTTTATTAAGTGCACTAGCTTGAACACTAAGAAAACAACCCATTAGGTCTTAAAATTAATATACTGGGTAAAACATTAAAATTAAGTACCTTTTCATTTACATTTTAACACATCAATGTACATGCTTTGTTTAAAAACATTTTATTTTGCAATTGATAACAAATGTACATGAATTTAAGCAATCTCAAAGCAATTACAGCATGGAAAAGTCACTGAATTCCATGTCTCTATATTTTGAAATAGTATGCAATAAAACATAAATGTCAGGGTAAAATATTATCCTTCTATTGAAATACCAATGCCTTATCAGCTTTATGACTTCACCTTCTCTGAAAGAATGGCAAAAAGTGTTTAGTAAGGATTAGCGAGACAAAATTTTCACGAATTGTGGTTATGTATATAATTAAGGAATACTATATTTACATTTTCCACTGAATAGTTTTTTTTTTACATGTACATTAATAGTTATCCAGGTTCAATCAAGGGTAAAGAAAACCCTTTGCGTTAATGACTGCATCAAATCTTGTGTTACATTAAGCATGTCGCACATTGCTCACCTGAGCAATTTAAGAAAAAGCACACATCTCAGAACTGAAAGTTTCAGTGGCTGTTCCATCAATGAAACATACAAAGACTTTCGCATCATTAATACAATAATTAAACTGTTTAATCCTTCTTTAAATGATTATTTAAACAGATATAAATATAAACAACAAATTGTCTTTCATTGTTTGTTATTACTGGAATTAACGGTCGCAGCTATTGCAGAAAAAATTTACATAACCCACTTACGCATTTTATTGTTTAAATATGGTACAAATGTACATGACTTTAAGCAATCCCAAAGCAATTACACATAGAAAAGTCACTGAATTGCATGATTGATTTTTCCTATATATTTTGTAAAATGGTTGGAAGTATGAACAAATTTGAATCTACAATAAAACATAACTGTCTTGAGAAGAAGATTTATAAAGTTTTTTCCTATATATTGCTATGTAAAAATATTATCATGATTTAAATAAACTTTCTACACTGAAATACCAATGTCTTGAGAAGAAGATTTTTAAAGATCAGCTTTATGTAAAAATTACACCTTCTCTGAAAGAATGAAATGGCAAAAAGACTTACATACATGTATATTAATAATTATCCCCTTGGAAAAGGGCCAAAGGTTACCCAAGGAACTTTGTAAAGTTTGGTTGAAATTGGCCCAGATTTTGAAAATGTGAAAATCACTCTGACGGCTGACTCCAACGACCAATTAAAACTTATGTTATAAGCTAAATAGGAAATAAAAGTTTATACATGTATATACCTTTTTAACATGGCAGGAGAACAAGATCTTGGAGAAATTGTCATGTGACTTCAGATGGTTCATCTTGGTGACAAAATCTGCTGTATTACTGTTGTCTTTTGACTGAAAATGAAGAAAAAAAATTGATGCTGATTAATTTGAACAATTCATGATACAATGCAGCTCAGTTATATCCATATTTCATAAAAGAAAAAAAATTAAGAAGCAATGGCAAGTAGAAAATTTGCCTTATTAATACAGCTCTTGATCCTTAAAGTATAATTAACACAAAGATAATAATTACGGAACTTATATAATTTTTCTCTCATGTATGTACATGAAATCAAACATGAATGCCTTATTAGATGGTATGTGCATGAAGCCTGGGATTTTCATTTTCAAGAACTTTATGATTCACCAGTCTTTTTTAAATGTCATGTTTGTTAAAATCAAAGAGCGGTCTAACCTCATGGACTTTCATAAATTTCATAAATAAGCTAGGTCAAATAAAACAGTTTTAAATTAAAGTTCATAAATATCATTAAATAAGGTCAAATAATAAACAATTTTAAAGAATTGTGGCAATAAACTCATTCTTAAAATTCTAGTCTGAAATTTGTAAAATGTGATGATAATTAACATTACTATAAACAAAGTAGCAATAAAAAAAAGAAATGTTAATAGGAAACTTTTCTAATTCAAAACACAAATTTTTGCCTACAATGGAGTCAATTTTAAGTCCCAGGCAATAAACTCAATTGCTTAAAATGGATCTGGAAGATTTGTAAAATGTGGTGATAATTAAGTGATAGATTTAAAAAAAAAAAAAACAAATTATGATAAGAGGGCATAAAACACAGACGCCTGGAAATCTCAGAGGTGGGATCAGGTGCCTTGGAGGAGAGTCATGTTATATACATGTCTTATATAGATTAGACAAGTTTTCTCTTTATCAAATAAAACATGTCTTACAAAATTTTTCTGCTAGTGACCTTGAACTTGACCTTATGGCCTTGGGTAAATGTATCAAGGTCAAAACTTAAGACCAGAGTCAATTTTTTGTGCTTCTAATGGTTTTATGTTAAACCTATACACTGTTTGAAGATGTGTAGAGATATAACCTAATTCCCATCTCATGGGTACATGTAAGATATCATTATATACATGATTGTATAGTTATATGGGTCCATAGCCTACTAATAAATACAGTAAAACACATTTATAGCTTACAAAATTACAAGAACTAATGCTTACAATGAAGTGATTTTCATTTCCCCAGACTTTAAAGTATATTGTGAACCTGACATACATTAACAATTTTGGATTTTAACTACCGGTGAGCAGTAAGCAAAACTCAAATGTTCCAGGCACTTTGTTATATAAGTGTGTTTTACTTTATAACTATAGATACCATGCATTGTTTTACATGTTCACTGTGTACTGAGACATTGACATCCTTCATATTGTAGATAACAATGAAGAAATCAATCAATATCTCGCAATAATACTATGATTTCTTATAAATGACTTGCCGATAAAAGCTGATTTACAAATATAATTGTGTCATAATTATACATTATATATATAAGCAAAGGAATTTTGTACCATATTATCTGCATGTACATACAATAATAACAGTTTCATATTTGTAAACAGCACTAGTTCTTAGCTTAGCAACTAAAATATATCTAAATTGACTAAATACAGCTGCTTATCCTGCTAAAAATTCTCAAAATAACATCCAGTTTTCCCAGATTTCTCATATCCATATCCAAACTGTTTGCTTTACATTGTATAAATAATGAGTCCATCCCAGTCAGTAATACATTGTCAAGTACTTAACATGTAGCTAGTTAGTTAAAACCTCTATCCATAGTCCCAACTACAAGAGTTGTTTTCAGTAACCAGTTATACATCTTTACAATTGATGACTTCTTGATGGTTTACTGTTTATTCATCAAATGCTTATCTATACATTGCATTCTCTGTGAAAGTTCTTACCCTGACATTGCTCCCACTCTCTTTTTGAGAAACTTTTTTTCCCATAATTTTTTTTTTTGTTCTTCATTTTAAAAGGGATGAAATGGATCTTTTTAAAATTTTTCTTCACTGTTACTTGCATTTATTACTGGAAAGAAACACGTGGCTTTGAAACTGCATGGTGTTTCTCAAAATAACACTGATTTTTACCAAGAGATTAAATATCTGTTTGTTTTATACTTATCATGTTTACAAAATTGTTTTAACTTTTACATTCATTTATCAACTTAATGCCACTTCATCACTTTGAAGACTTTCAAGGCCCCCATTAAATTATCATTAAAGGAGTACACAGTATCATTTCAAAATCAATTAAACTTAGTTGATATGAAAAACCAGTTGAGACAATATATAGTTTCAAAAAGAGAAATGGTCAATTTCAATAGTCTTTTAAAAATGCCCTATAGGCTTTATTAAAATGTACACCAATAATTATACCAGTTAAAAGGAAGTGAACATTTTAAATCTTTCTTTAAGGAACAGTGATTGCTTACATTACAATGACACATCACATGTGAATTAATTAGAAGTAGATCAAAATACTAGTCTGTGCAAAATGTTGAAAGAGAGTCATTAAAAGAAGACTTTTATAACTGTATCAAAATTTCTTTAATAAAAAGTTTCCAAGAAAATCTTCTATCAGAAGGTGATTGGTCACCATCATTGGGTGACCTAGATTCTCTACCTCAAAACATAGAAGAGTTCTTGCAGATTACTTGTAACATTGTAACATTTCACATTAACTTTATGTTTAAAGATGACTTCATTAAAGATGTTTCATGTGCTTGGAATTTCAAAGAAGAATGTTTCTATTAAAGGTTCAAGGTAAATCTAAAATATGGGTGTACACTTGAAATCTAACAACAACTGCCTTAACTCACCATAAACAACAATCTTAAGGACCATCACATCAAAATATTAAGGGCCCTCACATTTTAATTTTTCTAAATTTTACAGTGTGTAAACCTGAAACTGATGACTTTGTAAAAAGGGGGGCATAAATTTGTGCATCTTTTCATACCACAGAGAAAAAATCATGTTGTCATTTTGAAGTAAAAAATTTATGTCTGGGCCAAGATCTTATCTTTACCAATGCTCATTCTTGAAATTAAAAAAAAATTTAAATATGTTACTACCTAATTGTGGACAGCTGTTACTGCTTTATGCATATAACTCTTCATTATACTTCATTATATTCATGCATGATTAAGACTTATTTACATTGTATGAATAATCAAGGACTTAACCCTGAACCTTGCAGCAGCCCAGTTTGTATACATATTATTTCTTCATGTTATATATAGTGAAAACAGGCAGTTGTTGGGGCTTTTTTTGTGAGGTACACAGCACCCAGCCTCTAGCCATGCTCAGTCCGTGCCTACAATTTCTATACAGTACCTCAGATCTCTCCTAAAGAAAACAAACTTAATCATAAAGTTGGTAAACGCTTTTTTCATATTCCCTGAAATATCATACAATTATTGCTGTTTTTGATTGGTACAATATTCACAAGAACGAAAGGGCAAAGTAAATATGATAATTGTTCTTTGAGGGTAGCTAAATCATTGTTTTAATTGAAAAATAACCGTAATTAATAACATTTCATTCTATGATTAAATGATAAATTTTCAGTATACCAAAAAGCTTTGAATAATAGAATCATACAATAAAGACTAACAAATGATTTCAATATGCAGTCTAGCTGCAGATCTGTAGCATTATGGTTTTTTAAAATATATATATTTTTTTACCATAACGCTACAGTTCCTGTAATGCAAAAAAGGTGCAATTTACGGCACAATATTTTTTGCGCACTTATGGGGAGAATTTCTCCACTTTCCAGCATCCGTCAATTAACTACCTTTTACTCCCTAATTCTAGGCACATTATTTAACTAATCTGTATAATTTTACCCATCTCCCAACCCTTTATAGTCGTCTCTACAAGTGAAAAACTCGCTTGATTAAAATTATTTGTTAGATTTTCCTAAAAATTCACTTGAAGTGAGTGTACTGCCTGTAGAGACAACTATAAATGGTTGGGAGGTGGATAAAATACACATATTGGCTACAGAATGTGAGAAATTTTCCCCAAAAGTGCGCAAAAAATATTGCACCGTAAATTGCACCTTTTTTGCATTACGGGATCTGTAGCGATATAGTCAAAGACAAATATATAAAACCATAATGCTACAGATCTGCCGCTATATGCAGTCAAACCTCAATGTCTTGAACTCAATAGGACCAAGAAAAAACTTTGAAATATTTAGATTAAAATGCATCCAAATTTTTAAAAGAGAAGTTTGAACTTCCATCTCACTTCAACATATCAAATGGCAGGACCTTTCATGTATCAGTGTTTGTGATACTGAATTTCAACTGTGTAAATATAGTTTCTATCTTTGAAAAGTGATGGATGATTATATACATGAAAATAATAGTGTTAACTGAAGTTTGAACAATAATACAAACATTTTAAAGTGCTCATCATAAAAAAAAATTTTATCTAAATTTTTCAACTAAACATCTGGCAATCTCATGAAAATGAATCATTTCAACATATTATTGCACATAACGAATGCACTTGCAGTTTAATAAAATATAGTTCTATGAAAACTAATTGGCACTGCATTTATTAAGTAGACACTTAAAAATGTTAAAACTACATTCAAGCAGAAAGAAAAGATTGTGAATTTTGATTAGTACTTAATTATTTATATGTACTATTATACAACATGCATAAAGTTTCTTTCAAAATACACTATATTATTAAATTAAATTTATTGAGTAGATTTCTTATTCTTAATTCTAATGGAAAAAAGTTCTTATCATTAAAGACTGTTCAAGAACAAGATGTTTTATGGTGGAATGGGAAGGGTTTGATGTTTGAGGAATGTGTCACTGGGCATATAGAGTTGCCTGTGTAGCACAATGGTAGAGCGTCTGCTTCTATAGTCACAGAGAAAGAAGTTGATTCTTATGTCGCAGGTTGAAATCCCAATGAGGGACGTGGAGACCGGCCCTTCTGATGAGACAGTATAAACTGAGGTCCCGTGTCGCAGCAGATGCTTGCACAAAAAAGATCCCTCACTGCTCAATGACCCTGAGTGTCGAATATAGGACAAAATTTGCTGCTGTCCACCAGTAAGTGGTGGCGTCTCTATAGGAGTGAACATAAAATTCTCGAGTGGGACGTTAAACAAAAAACATTAAGGATTCAAAATTTTTCAACTATTTTTTGCTGTTTGAAATGCTTATTTATAAATTATCTTCAGTTTAAGCAGGGCGTTGTTATAAGGAATTGTTTATGACAGTTCAGGGATGGATTTAACAAACTGTTGACTTCCCTAGTACATATTTATATAATTTTGAAACAGTCCTTGCAGGGGGAAATTTTTTTATATTACTTAAACAATTTAGGCTAAATAACTTTTGATTGGGAGAAAAATATAACCAATTAAAAATAATTTTGCAATGCTTTATTGATTTTATTTCATAAGGAAGAGCCCTGTGATAATTGTTTTTCTTGGAAAAAAAATATTTTGGAATCAGATGCATGTCAATTTTTATGTAAACATACTTTAATTGGACCCTAATTGGAAAAAAAAAAATTCTTAAATGTAATTAATCTTGATCATCTATTGGCAATAACAGTTTTAATTACCAAGTACATGTAAATGGGGGGGGGGGGGGGAATAAGATCACAGACACATCAATTAAACATTGTCAAATTGTATTTATCAATTTACGTAGGAATTGAACTACAAATTAAATCTACTATAGATATGAAACCTTTATCATGTTAATTGTCTTGTTTTTAAGCTTCAGAAAAATAAAGATTTTAAAATTTACCATTGAACTACATGTACTAACTTAAACTAATGAATCTCTGATGATATACATTTGAAAGTTTGCACTCCAGCTCTTTTTTTTAATTAAACTAAACCTTTACATATATGCAGAAATTGTTCAGTATATATGAATTCCCAGTCACTCACCATTGCTAAGTAGTTTCCTTCCCATTTCCTGCGAGATCCCCAGTCTGACCTTCGACCTCCCAGGGCATAGGCAGCACAAACCTTTATCCTTAACATAGGCCATTCAGGTTTGGGAACGTCCTTCAAAATCATGTTTGCTCTCCACCTGTAAGTATGTATACACTGTAGAGTGACATATTATCTCTTCTCTCCCCCACCCTTTTTTTTCAAAATTTTTATAAGCCATTTTGAAGAAAACCAACAAATGGAACCTTTTGGCTTTGCTACATAATATACACTACTTTGTGCAATATTGAAAAATATTTTTTTAAAAGAGCATTTAAACAAGATCATGACTACAGTACATGTCTACCTTCCATGTACTCTTTTTAACAGATCCACCAGACTCTGTAGCTTAGCAGGTGGTTGTGACCACTCCACACTTTTCCCATAATCCTTCATCCTCTTAACATTCCTGAAAAATATATCAAAAGAACATGTATAGGTTTACAACAGGCCAATAAGAGATAGTTTTACAATTTCCATTTTGGACTTGCGGAGAGGGGTGGAGCAAAAATTACAAATTTCTCAACAATTGAAGAAAAGGTTGCATTTTTAATAATGAAAATGCATAAATATATTAGCTTTCTTTTCTTTTTTAGTTTAGTTTATATTTGCATGTACAGTATTATAAGTATTGATTGTATATTAAATGTATTTCATTACACGCTCATCATTAATTTCAATTAATTCCCATTTTACACATAAAACTTCAATAATATCCATATTGCAGTGGAAAAGAACCTTTTCCCAGTAAAGCAACCACCAGCTAATTATCTCCCTTCAGCAAGGAAACTCAAACATTAGTTACTCCCAACAAATCTCTTAAACTACATGCACACAACATGTTCTGGGGATAAGTAGACTTACTTGAATTTTTCTACCAAGTTCTTCATATACTGCCTCATTTTGTACTTCTTGAAGCGGTCCATGATAAGGTATATTGCCCTCATCTTCTTGGCTTTTCTCCTGGCATTCCCTCCTCTCCACATCTACAATAATAAATGATAAATTTACAGAAAAATTTTAAATACCTGCATGTAATTAATGTGGAAAATTTTAGCGAGACGCAAATTCAGCTATTTGTCCTTAAAAACTGGTATTTTATTTTTAGCGAGATGTATTTTAGCAATTTAAAAATGCTCACTTAAGAAGCTACAAATAAAATTCAATCAATTTTTAGCAATATTCAATTTTAGCAATCTAAGCACCCTTGCTAATAATGCCAAAATTAAATCTTCGCTAAATATTCTGCTTTAGATCAAAGTAAACATTTCCTAGATTTAAATCATATTTTTAAATGATCCGATATAACATATAACTGTTGACATACAAGTTTCCCTGTGGAATTACCGTATTTGGCTGATGATGCATTGATGTAAAATACGCACCCCCCTTTTTGAGTCTGAAACTGAGGGAAAAAACGCAGTTCAGATGTATTATACGCAACCGAAAAATTTACCAAGTGATGTTCTGAACTTTGAAAATCGCGGTAATTTGTTACGAAAATCGGTGCGAGGATAAAGTGTCAAAAATTCACTGAACACATCTTTTTTAAAATAAACACTTTATAACTTTCTCTTGATCCTGACATTCCATATCGCAGCAATCTTGAGAAAATTATTTATTCATTTATTTCAACAAAGCACAAGATAATGTTGCGTAAAAGTATTAGCAGAATTTTTTTTAAGCATAGTTACGGTGATATTGAAATTATGCGTCGCCATATTCTTAGATGAAATAATTTTATTTCAACAAAGCATGAGATATTGTTGAAAGTTTTAACATTAATCATAATATTTAATTTTGATTCTAGGTAATCATGCTGAAAATTATGTTACAATTTTTTAACAGTACACGAAATTGAATCATCAAAGTATTTAAAAAGACTACGATTTTTCTCTTCTGAATTTTCGCGGATATCTTATTTTCTAAAGAGCACCAATAAATGATAACACTTAAGTTTAGCATAATTCATATTTCATTTGTCAACTCTCAATCATTTAAAAAAGAGGCCGATAAGTATAAGATTAGGTAAAATTACATTTAACAAGTGTTTAATTGTTTAATGTGTCGTAATCAACACATGCTCACACATACTAAAGGTCATAAACGGACCCCCCAATTTTTAACAAAGAAAATAATCAAAGCAATTAACAGGACAGTAAATAAACATTGCTCTAACTGTAAAAACATTGCTTTGGAGTCGGTAGACAATTAATTGCCTGGAGGGGTGTTGATAGGTAATTATCATTTGAACAGCGCACGTGTGTCACAACATTGGCTTCCTTTCATTGGGACGTATGGAGGGGTGTTTATGTTGCAGCAGATTTTCATTGAGTTATTTAAAACCTTATATAAATTTTTATTTTATTGTATTTCATTAAAAAATGACTTATTACTAATTGTCTGGCAGATAAGGTGCATGTGCACTAGATCATTACGGAAGCACGTAACATAGGCATGAGTGAACGTCTAAAAATAACTTCGGTAATGGCGGCCTACTCGGAGACGATCAACATGCAGCTCAAATTACTTTTAACTTGCTTTTTCATGTTATTTTAGTATCAAAAGATTATGAAAGTGAAATTTTTAACAAGCATACCTTCCAACAATAACTTTCCGAAGTTTAAAATATGGCGATAAACAAAAGAAATTGCATATGTCTCTAGGTAATACTACAGTATGTATGTATGATAGCCGTGTTTCACCTGAAAGAAAAACTTATCAAAATTCCATTGTGATGTACAATACGCATCCCTTTCTCACAGAAATTTATTTTAGGAAAAAAAATGCGTATTATATTCCCCCAAATACCGTAACCTTTGCTATGTACAAGATCAAATATTTTGTAACTAACTGCTAAATCCATCAAGTCTTACTTTAACTGCATTCAACATGTTCAATGCACACAAGCTTCTGCCTAATTTTCTATCCCAACCCCCACCCCCATACCCAATGCTGGACAGAAATTTTTATTCTGAAAAATTTGAATCCCATTTAAAAAGTTTTATAGCATGTAAATAACAAATCAAAATTGAACAAATTTGGCACTTTGCTTTCAATGTGTATTTCCCAAGTGGGAATTTTTAAAGGAAGTGGAAAAGGATTTTTTTTCAACTTTCAGGTCAAAGGATCTGACCATAAAACATAAACACCCACCTTCTGTAGGAAGATCACAATGGTTGGGATTTTCTGGGAGCGGGTTTCCTCGATGGAGAACAGGGTTTGGGGGGAGCGGATGAAGATCTTGGATTTCCCGTACTTGACGTCCCCCTCGTGACCCAGGGTCTGCAGAATCTTCTTACACCCCTCGCTATCATTACCTGAAAAAGTGGGCCAGGTGTATGGGGTGGTGCACTTGTACCTGTTAGAAAGATAAGTCGTATAATTAATTAATTCTTTATTTTGATAATGTCAATACATACCACTTGTATGCATGATGGAAAAAATAGAAAATGCTTCAATGCAATCCCTTACTTCACAAACACTTTTTAAAATGATAATTTCCGGTACTTTTCAATTTAAGATCATTGTTTAGATACATGTACATTGAAAAAAATGAAATTTATACTACATTATAATTTGGATAAAGGTTATTTTTGTTTTGACAAACTTTTTTTCAAAATCTATACATAGCATGAAAATTTCATTTAAAATGAAAGAAAAAGTGAGCTAGCTCACATACCCCACGCTCCCCCAAAACTTGATGGTGAAACACAGAATGAAAGGCACAGCTGGTGCACTTTAATACATAGTATAGATCAAAAAGGGCAATAATTGCAAAAAAATCTTCACATCAAAATGTCTTGCATATGAGGACATTTAAATGTGGAATGAAGTTTCTAGATAAATAATGGAATCAAAATTTCTTGGCATTATACAAATCCAAACATTAATTTGAAGTGGTTGGGTGGGGGGTGGGGGGTGAGAAATTTTCTTGAATAATAGGCAAAATTCTTTGGGATAAAATAATGGAATATGTCCTAAATATCTGAATAGGTTGACGAAACCATGTACAACAGTTTAAGAGGAGTGGTGCTGACAAACTGTTCATTTGTATATTCAAAATATGGCCAAAAAGTCTAAGTTGGAAAGTGTGGAAATTCCCGGAAAAATAAAGGAATCGGAATTTCCTGGTAATATGCACATCTACATATTGTGTCCTAAATATCTGCAAAGTTTAACGAAATTCTGTGCAGTGGTTTATGAGGAGTTGTGCTGACAAACTGTTCATCTCTATATAAAAGGTATGGCCAAAAACCTAAGTTTTTAGTGCGGGAAGTCCCGTAAAAAATAAAGGAATCGGAATTTCCTGGTAATATGCACATCTACATATTGTGTCCTAAATATCTGCAAAGTTTAACGAAATTCTGTGCAGTGGTTTATATGACGAGTTGCGCTGACAAACTGTTCATCTCTATGTAAAAGGTATGGCCAAAAACCTAAGTTTTTAGTGCAAAAAGTCCTGGAAGAAATAAAGGAATCGGAATTTCCTGGGAATATGCACATCTACATATTGTGTCCCAAATATCTGCAAATTTGACTAAATTCTGTGCAGCTGTTTATGAAGAGTTGCGCTGACAAACTGTTCATCTCTATATTCAAGGTATGGCCAAATGCCTAAGTTAAAAAGTGCGGAAATTCTCGGAAAAAATAACGGAATCGGAATTTCCTGGTAATATGCACATCTACACATTGTGTCCTAAATATCCGCAAAGTTTGACGAAATTCTGTGCAGCGGTTTATGAGGAGTTGCGCTGACAACCTGTTCATCTCTATATTCAAGGTATGGCCAAATGCCTAAGTTAAAAAGTGGGGAAATTCCCGGAAAAAATAATGGAATCGGAATTTCCTGGTAATATGCACATCTACACATTGTGTCCTAAATACCTGCAAAGTTTGACGAAATTCTGTGCAGCGGCTTATGAGGAGTTGCGCTGACAAAAAAAAGAGGACTGACTGACTGACGGACTGACTGACTGACGGACGGGTCAAAAACATTATACCTCCCGCAACTAGTTGCGTGGGGTATAATAACTCTGAGACATTCTTTCACAGTCTTTTCCTTGTTAAGCTACCTTTCTTCAAATAAACAAATGGATTTTGACTAGAAGGGGAGATACTGAGATTCCTAGTAATAAATCTTGTCCCTTACCTCTGTAGGAATCTGACATAAGTGATACGGAACGCGAAACCTGCTCTTCTGACCCGGACATTTTCCATCAGACCGAGATACATCACTTGATGGCGGACCCGCTCATCATTAAATGCACTTGCTGACTTGATTTCGTTGGGTTTGATACAACGGACATAGTGGGGCTCCTGTCAAATGTAAAGGTTATCACAGGTACTATGAACAAAATATGCATCAATTCAAAGAGAGAAAGAGGTTTAAACAAATGTTTATGCAAAGGAAAAAAACCCTCTGTATTCAAAAGATATATCAGTGCATTTCTGTTAACAGAGTATTGTTTCTCTTAAAGCTTGAAATCACACCCATTGATTTTAATTCAAATTTAAGGTTATCATAATGTACTGAATAAAATACATAATATACATGAATCTAAAATGAAAGAAACTATTAGATTAGCTGCAATTGATTTATCTCACTGCAGATGAAGTCAAAAGTGAAAAGAATAAAATGAGGACAAAAATGTCGCTACATGCAAAATTTCATGTTCAAGTTTTGAAGACGACCAACCTTCGTAGCTAGATTGTCTACTAGAGCTATGATGGAGTTTTTGAAGTTGGTACCAGCTGTGATGGGTCTCTTGGTGGTCTCCGTTATATTCTGTGCTCCCTCCGGCCACATCAGCTTAAAGATATCCTCCTCACTGGAAATATTTAGTATAAATATTTAAATTTTAACATTATATCTTAATATTAAAAAATATTTAAAATACAAGAGGCCCACGGGCCTTATAGGTCACCTGAGTATCATGCAACAACTTTCCAGTGATTGTATTTGGTTCGTGTTTTAATCCAAAAGCCATGAAATTCACAAATTTGTAAAGAGGCACCATTGCTTATCAAAGGGCAGATTTCAAAGCATTAATTTATTTTTAGTCAAAGTACCCCCCTGGTACCCCTGACCCAGCAGCCCTGAAATTATCTATTTTGAAAGAGGCCCCTTTCTTCATTACAAGGCCAGCATTTTTTTTATGTTTAGGTTTAGTTATGAACATGAGAATAAAAATGTCCCGAATGAGAAGAAAATAATTTTTTTTTTTTTTTTGATAAATCAATTATTAACATTTGTACATTCTTTTTTTATGCCATTCTAATAGGCTCCTTACCACTGGACACATAATGCTTACAAATACGAAAGTAGAACATTGCTTATTTCATCATCTGCCAGTTTGGGCCAGTTATATAAATTTTGTGATGTTGGTCAATATGTATGTAAAAAAAATCAATTCTTTAAATGTCTTTCAATATATCTTCATTTTTTTTTATATGTGTTCGGTGAATGTGTAGGCATTGTTCTAAAATTTACTTGATGCCTAAAATTATATAATTCCTATCATAAAACAGACAGGGAGTATTAGAGAGTAGGGTGAACATTTTTTCAATTAAGTGTAAATTTTTTTACTGGCTGATACAAATGATACTTCATGCCTGTATATATTTGTATATTTTTGCCTTTTAATAGTTGAATTTTTTCTTTATTTCTTCAGGTTATTGTTTATTTCTTCCTCAAATGGACTAAACTTCTCCCATAGTTTTATTCATTACATCTGATGCATAAGCAACCCTTTTCTGAAGAATGATGCTTAGACTGTAAGCTATAACAGAGATCTAAACAATGTCGCTGACAATATGCAATAGCTACCACTGGCAGTTTAAAACCTGGGGGAGGAAAATAATTTACAGACAGATACTTTTGAAACTAACACATAATTATCTCACCAGCATGTCATTGTGCAACAAAGTCGTCAGCATTTTATTTGTCCTTTGAACGGGTGAAACGTTTTGAATGGCACTCGAATCGATGAATTTTACACTAAACCAAGGGGTGCGTTCACAGTTCTACCATTAGTACCAACTTTCTATATACCATTGGTGCAATAATTTGACATTGGTACCAACTGTACCAATAAACCCTGAACGGATATTGGCATAAAAATGTAACTATTTTACCAATGTTACCAATGGGAGTCCAATGGAAACGTTGGTAATACTGAATTACAGATTTCTTTGTCTTCTTAGTTATTGGCACAAGCCAGATTCTCAAGAAAATCATAGCAGACTCAGAGTCGAGAAACAAACCACGTCAGGAACACACTTCTTTAGTTGCCACATCTATGACTTTTATATAATCCATTTAATGGATCATGTCTAAATCATACTTCAAAGTCATGAATTTAAGTGTTTGATATGATTTTTATGTGATTTTGGCATGATTTGTTAAAAAGGCTTAGAGGAAAAATCGTTTATTTCATTGTGAATCCGGGATCCAAGTCTTTCTAGCTTGTTGCCATGTCGATAACTAGCTGTGACGTCATTTACCAACATTAACCACACTCTAGACTGTCTGCAGAAAAATATACCATTGGCAAAAAACATTGGTACCACTGGCATGCCAATGGTAATTAATTTTACCAACGGCAACTTTTGTCTACCAACGGCAGAACTGTGAACGCACCCAAGCTATCTTCTCAGATAGATCTAGCATTATTTACCCGCCGTTTCATCTTAAAACCGGAAGTGCGACTTTGTAAATTTGAAATCTCGATCCCGACTCAAATTTGACATCGGAAAGAAAAAATTGTTTTATTTTTTCTGAAAATTCTAAACCTTGAGCGGAGGGTTTATAAAACTGAAAATAAAATAAATCCTGGCCTTAAATATGTAATTAGATCATTAGCATATTAACCAGGAGCAAAGGATAAGATGTTCAAAGAATTCATGCATTTCACTATATAACCATTAGAGCCCCACCCTAAAACAAGAACCCTTGACCCTGGGGCCATAAAATTCATAATTTTGGTAGAGGCAATCTTGCTCATCATAACTATGTACTTAGTTAGTTTATTTAATACCCAGGAGCAGAGAAGAAGATTTTCAAAGAAATAATGTATTTTCACTATATAATCAATAGAGCCCCGCCCTAACACCAGAACCCTTGACCCTGGGGCCATAAAATTCACAATTATGGTAGAGGCACTCTTGCTCATCATAACTATGTACTTAGTTGGTTTATTTAATACCCATGAGCAGAGAAGAAGATTTTCAAAGAAATAATGCATTTTCACTACCTACTTATTTTGCCCTGCCCTAGCACTAGAACCCCTAACCCAAGGGCCATGAATTTCACAATTTTGGTAGAGGACTCATTGCTGATTACAATCATGCAAACAGATTGACTGCTTGATGTCCAGGAGTAAAGAAGAAGATTTTTAAAGATTGCATTAATTTGAGTGGTTTTGGCCCCACCCCTCAGGCCCCAGGGGGGCAGGGACCATAAAATTCACAATTTTGTTCCCCTTCACCAATAGAAGCTATATTCAAAAATATGGTTAAAATTGGTTCAGTGGTTTCAGAGAAGAAGCTGAAAATGTTCAAATGTTAACACACGACACACGACGGACGACGACGGACGAAAACAGATAGCAATAGGTCACCTGAGTTTACTCAGGTGACCTAAAAATATAATGAAAGGGAGACAACTCTTTTTTTTCTTTAAAACATTACATTAGATGAACCGCAAAATTAAAGCTTTCAACAACCAGAGTTTACATATATAAAACTGACTTCTTTATACTTTTTTATTATGAAAAAACATTGCTAACTATGTAGAGCGATAAGTACTACCCATTTAACTCTAAACTATATACTAACCGTATAGCTGAGGGGGTAATCCATTTGTTGTGTACATGTATTCCAAATTTTTTTTTGCTTTAGCAATGTTGTCTGACTTATTACTCAGTTTAAATACAGTTGACATTTTCATCAGAAATTCAAATTTGGCCAAAAGTTATTACTGTAAAACGAGAAAATTTGGCGCATACGTATTTTAGTGCAAACGCATGTGGGAACGCATTGGCGCAAATAAATTTTAGCGCTTACACTTGTCATTTAAATATATAAATATGATATTTTGGTTTTTTTTTTTATCCATATTGCGTTTGACTTTTTGGTTAATCAAGCACAGAAACATAATAGCACTCCCGTATATAAGTAAACATTCGTCAACTTTACCTTGGTGTTGCAATCACATGGACGTGGCACATTGTTAAAATTTATTTTATCTTTATTTTAAATAAAAGAAATTGAGGCTTTACACATTTACTTCTCATTAAAACAATGCATGCATCGAAAGAAAGTTACTTGGATAAACGGTAATTATAATTAGTCTGCAAGCTCAATCGCCATGCTTGATTGCACTGTTTACCTCGAGGCGATAAATGATTGACACGCAGAGAAGCCAAACTTTGAAGGTGCTAATGACAAGAATCGGGTAACAACTACCGGGGTAACAATAGTTTAATTAAATTATAATATGGCAGAACTTTCTGTCTTCCTACCATGTGCAGTGCTAGTGTGTATATAAAATCCAACAACCCTCGACATTTCGTAATCGCGCTTTCCAGTTTACATGTACTGTAAAAGTCCATGTGTAAAAGCTTTGAAATATTTAGAATTCGAAATCCGTTAGCGCACAATAAATTTTTGCGTTCAGGGTCTCTTGCGCCAAAGGCGCTAAAATTAATAGTGCGCCAAATATTCTCGTTTTACAGTATTTATTGGGGACTGTTTTAGGGACAAAGTTATTCTTTCTGTGTTAGATTCTTAACAAAATTTCAGCTGCCTCCCAAAGGCAGCCATCTTTCATTTACGTGACAACCAAATCATTTTAGCAGCATCACTAAAGCTTGTAATGTTGAATAAAAGCATTATGACAAGGACTGACTTGCCTATTATACAGAAGTCGAATAAAAGATGAATGCCTTATGACTAGGACTAACCTGTTATACAGAAGTCTTTTGAAATCCTGGAATAGACTGTCTCTGTTTTTATCAATGAATCCTGGCACCTGGTACGTCACCTGACCCGCGTAATGTTTTATTCGGAAGTCGCGGGAATGTTCAAGTGTCTTGTCTGCAGGGTTCAGCTAAAACAGAATAATACATCAAGCCATGTAAACAGCTTTAATGACAAACATTGGATAGATTTTATATGAAGTGAAGAAAAATTGACAATTTGATTAAAACACCTTTATACACATGCAATCTTTTCCATGGAATTTTACAGTGTATATAGCTTACATTTTGCTTCTATGACACTTTCTTACACAAAATATATTTATAAACACTGTGATAAACAATCATAGAGTTTTACATAATATTTTGAAGTGTTTTTCCCCCTATTTTCATACATGCCTTTTAAGACTATTCTTATCATATTTATGCTCAAAAATGTATTCAATGACATATTTTTTTCAACCCAGCACACACGATATAAGCACTACTTACAGATCTACAGGTAAAGTGGTCATGCTTCCCCAGTTTCTGAGCCATGGCTGTTAAAAACATCTACAAAGAGAAAAACAATCCAATTAAAACTGTTCACAGTACGATAGATTCCTTATTTATTTCTTTTTATATTGCAATAATTTAGATTTGCAAGAAAACTGTTACTTTAATAATTAGTATTTTCAAGTAATAAACTGCTGCAAAATTATGAGAAAATCAATTCTTTCATTTTTTTTTTTTTGAATCAACATTATTCATAAAAAAAAAAAATGAAATCATCTCTCTTTTAAATTCTGAAAGTCAATTAATTTTTATAAATTTTCCTTTATTCTGATTGGACTAGAAGCATATCTGACCTCGTCCGTGACCTTTCCTACGCTGAGACAGGCTTCGTCGAGTATGGCCAGTATCCCTTTATGTGGGGCCTCTATCAGGTCCACGATGATCTTGTTGTTGAAGTACTCTATGTGCTGCCATTCTATTCCCTCCCGCTGGTACTCCTCCTGCTCCTGTTTTAGAACTAGTTCTATAAATAGCTGCTGCAGCTTCTCGTTGCAGTAGTTGATACACAGCTGTTCAAAACTGTGGAGAATAAAAAAAAAATCATAACATAAAAATATTTGATTTTTTAACTGAAAATAAAAGAAAAACATAGGTAATCAGAGACTACAGAGCTCACCTCAACGAATGTTGTCTTTAAGTAAGGCAAAGTCACACAATTACCCAAAAAGAAGTGTACATCCAAAAATGCAAAATTTATGCAATTTTGATCTGATACTTTGGAATATACCTATATAAAAACTTCAAACTAGTTCTTCATCACGAAAATGTGATCAAAATCCAGCATCTGAAGCAAGTTTAAGAGTTTTCATCCCTTGATGCATCATTTGGGCAAGTTTGGTTAATTTAAGCCTTATAGTTTCTTGGTGATAGACCTGCACCCATAACTTTTACCTGGTCCATTATCTGGAAAATGTATGTCGAATTCAGCATCCGTAGCAAGTCCATTAGTATGCATCCTAAGATGTATCATCCATGCGAGTTTGCACAAAATAGGGTAATAGTTACTTAGAAATGAAACCTGCATAAAAATTTCATCTCTTCACTCATCCAGAAAAAAATGTAGGTCAGATTCAGCATCTGAAGCCAGCCTGGTAGAATGCAACCTTAGATGTATCATCCATGCAAGTTTGGCCATTAAAGAGCTCATAGTTACTTGGAAATGAATCCTGCATCAAAAACTTTAACCTCTTCACTCATCCAGAAAATGTAGGTCAGATTCAGCATCCAAAGCAAGTCTGGTAGTATGCATCCTAAGATGTATCATCAATGCAAGATTGGTCAACATAGGACTTACAGTTCCTTGGAAATGAGACCTGCACCAAAAAAAATTAACCTGTTCATTCAACCGGAAGATGTAGGTCAGATTCAGCATTGTCTGGTAGTGTACATCCTTAGATGTACCATTCATGCAAGTTTGGTCAACATAGGGCTTATATTTCCTTGGAAATGAGACCTACACCAAAAACTGCACCAAAAATGTTAACCTGCTCCAAAAACATTTTAAAACCTGTCATTCCTTTGCTGAAATTGCAGCATCTGAAACTTTGACTTGTACAATGAAACACATTAGATGCATCTTCCATGCATGTCTCATCAATATAGGACATAGAAGTACTTAAAAAGAAAACTGCTCCAAAAAACTTAACTTTAACCTGGGACGCCGACGCCGATGGTATTACATAAGCTCCCCCAACTTTGTTGAGGTGAGCTAAAAATTAAACATTAAATATATCTAATATTTTTACGCTTTGATTATTTTTTCTACGAAGGTTTAACTTCTATATATCCATGACTGAGAATTTATTTTAACTTTGCCAAATGCCATTGCAGAGAATGCCAGCAAACGTGTTTTACAATGCCATGATGGTGATGGTTTTCATCATATTCATTCACTATCTTTTTTTTATTTAATTCAATAAATGCTTGTCAGCTTTGTTTGATTGCTTCCTAATTTAGAGTACTAAATCTTAAGTCCTTTTCCTTTACCAATTTCGAAAATATAATAAACACTCTATAAGACTGTAATGATCTTAGTGATATATATATAATCAATTTCAAAATCAGGACAAGCACCTGTTGTTGTCAAAAATTTCAAATCCGTAGATGTCCAACACTCCTATGACTGTGTTTTTTCCCACATAAGAAATCCCACTGGCCTTAGGATCGATAGCCTCATTAATTTTACTGACGATCCACGTAAACATTCTGTCATACATAGCCTGTAAAATAAAAAAAAAAATTTGACAAGAATGCTTGAAGATTTGTTATACATCTCTCATATTCACATTTGCATAACTTTCCCTTTAAGGAATGAAGCTTTATATTTTAACTTATGTTATATGATAAAAAAAAATAACTTGGGGCAGATTACGCTTTATAAACTGCAAAGCGAAATATCATATAAATTAAATCTTTTATCCAATCATATGACGTTTTACAACTAAAATTAAATTATTATAGATATAATATAACACTAGTAGAACTAGGGGTATTTAAGTCTGCATAAAAACAGTTTCATCATACGACCATAAACTATTTTCGTCATTAATCATAAATCAATAAAAATTTTTTGTTCAGAATCTCTGTTTTTTTAAGACCTGCATGCAGCATTTTTTTTGCCTGGTTATACCTTGGCAAAAGCATCCCTAGCATAAACGGCATCAGACGTGGACAGCTGTTTTTCAACCACTTGACCCCCAGCTGCGATGACCCGGAAACAGAGGGCTTTCCTAAGATTTTCTGTGGTTACCGATAACAACCCAGCTATGTTGCCAAGCAACGTTTCATCAGACACACCTGCATGATCATGGTCATCGACCGAGACATAATCTAGATTTCCCTGTGTAAAAATGAAAATATATGTAGTTACTGTACATTTTTTCTGACTTTTCTTTTAACAAAAGGATTTTTGTGGCTTACTTGGTTGAAATGCTGAATTTTGAAAAAATTGAAGTTGAAATTATGAAAGGGAAACAGATTATTCATAACAGATGAAACATCGAAGACTTTTCATCAAAGTAACTTGCTTGTGCTTATAGGGATCGGGTAAGCTAAAAACTCTTGAAAGTAAACACAGTTAATTTACCAGGTGGAGAATGGCAGCCACGATTTTCCACAGTGCCTCGGCGTGGGCGTAAGAGAACCCCATGACCTTCAGGGCGTTCATTACTGACCTATAATCATCCCTGTCATGCACCGTCGCACACTGAAATAAAGCAACAACAATCAAATGTTACACATTAATTAGTACTCATATGTTCTTCAATTTTTCATTTTTTTTGGTTGACAATATAAAATAACAATGAGTTGTAAATTAAAGAAATCAGCATTTATTTTACTTACATACTGGTTACGATTGTACAAATTATATAAGATCATGGATATATAAATATTACTGATTTTTCATATATTTTTCATATTTTTTGGCAGACCAACAATACAGCATGTACTCATGCAACAAACACAAAGCACTTAAATTTTATTTTTATAAACAGTTACTGTAGAAAAAACTCTGCAAATCTGACAGCACCATTTACACAAAACAGCAAACAATGCTGTTAGTATATGTATTTGTTTCACAAACAAAATTCTCTATTTTTTTTTTTTAATAAACAACTCTAGCATCTGTCTATTTTTTTTTTTATTTGTCCACTGACTCCACTCTGTAAATTCATGACAAACATTTATGTAGGGACATTTTCTTTCCTAATTTAATTTGGAGATAAAATATTTGTATATCATATACAATGTGTAAAGGGAATAGTTATGATATGGTTGATTTTCAACTTTTTATGGAGACAATTATTGTAGATTCCTAAATATACGCGTGGAATTAATTATCGCGTAATTTCGCGAGAAGCACTACACGCGAAATAAAATTACTCGCCTTTATTTTTATGGTGCTGAAATCTATGTTAAATCTCTTGACCAACCATCCATTCGCGAATTATTATTCTCGCGATTTGACGTTGAAGAGCTCATTCGCAATAATAAGTACTCGCGAAAAATAAGGAATCTCTTGTATCCATTTATCTCCTACTAGAAATATAATACAGTGGAGCCTCATTTATCCGGACGCTTTGGTTCCTAGTCAATTTGTCCGGAAATGTGAAGCGTCCGTATACCTGAATCACCAGTTAAACAAAACAATATAACATTTAAAAATTCCGTCCCGATGAAAAAACATTCGGATACTGAAGCATCCAGATATCTGAGGTCCGGATATCTGAAGGTCCACTGTATTGGATTAGAGATACAGGGTGAAAGTAAAGTAAGGAGAGTGATAACTTGACATTTCACTTCACCTGTATCACTCAAACAGTATGTAAATTTATGTAAATGTATGTAAAAATTAAATACATTATTTTTTGTATACATGAATATTCATTAAAATATTTTTGATAATCATACCATTTTCTGTATAAACATGATACATGAATATATTTATTACAATATTTTCCTTTGTATCTTAATACATACTTGTATCTATACTCTTAAACTTGCATGCTTACACACATATGTATAGTATTTGTTCAACACTAGAGGTTATAGTTTCTCTAAGATTATAAACAGCTGTCAACACATACATATTATAAATGACACAATACCATAAGTACATGACTGTATGATTATTATGTATATTGCATCAAACATTATTGTGCCTCTACATGTATGTTTTTTAAATCATGTTTCCCACATAGTGATACTTACTTTTTCAATCTAAATAATGTGTGAAAAAACAACATAAATGAAAATAATCAAATTTTAAACTAATTAATACACAAAATATAATTGAAAACTCATAATAAGAAAACTTATGAGCTGAATTTGTCCTGCCTTACGTGTACCAGTGAATGTATGAGAATTTATTTTAAAAATTGACCACCATGGATATGTATATGTTATGCTTATACATGTAAAAAGGAATTCTTTGATTCATTACATAATTATTATTTATTATATTATTTTGTTTAACTCAATTAGCAGTTTTTGAACTATTCAAATGTACTAATGTTCACAGTGATGTCAATAGAATATGACAGCAGTCTTATTTAATATTCAAACAATCCTTTCTGCAATTTTGTAATGCACACGTTTCAATTAATAACTTTTGTTTTGTAATTGTTTTGGATTGACAGAATAAAATTAAGAAGGAACGATCGATTATAACATCTTCAAACAGGGAAATTTACAGTAAGAGGAAATAACAGAAGAAAACAATAGAGGAAAAAGAAAGGGCCACCCAAATCCACGCTGTCTGGGAAATTGTACAAAGCACATCAAATTCATACAACACTTTTTTTTTCAGGCATGTTTTTTTTAAGGAAATTGGATGTTTATCACGTATTGTAATACATTTCTAGGAAAATAAAATATGTATAAATAGTACACTTGAACTAGAGCAAAGCTCGTTGCAGAGCAACGAGTAGGTCTTCCGTCCTGTTTTGACCGGAAGTGACGTCAACAAAAGAAAGCAATGAGCTAAGTCGTGTCCAGTCACTTTATAATTTCAATTTTGCATCAAAACCTTTAAAAATAAGCTTTTTTGGCTACTTCCGGTTTGACCGGAAGTGATGTCGACGGACAGAAAATTACGTTTTATGCTTCCAGTGACATATGTTATCATAAAACTTGTCAAGAACGGTAAAAAAATGCATTTTCTGACGACTTCCGATTTGACCGGAAGTGACGTCGCCGGACGCATTTTGACGACTTCAATAGATTTAGCTTGACATTTTGAACAACTTTGCTTCTTAGACGTATTACAAATTCTCAATACTTTTTGAGATATTTGGAAAAAATTTTTGGACCCTCTAGATCCCTTAATTTAGGGGTCAGCCCTTTTTCCAAGATATCATTTGAAAGATCTTCCAATTCTGCACAAATTTTGTTCTATACGTCTTAACAAAATATTTTTAGTTTAGAAGATAAAAAGCAAAATATGAGTAATTTTTAGCTCTTTTAAGCGTTCTATATAGCGCCATTTTGAATAGAGAAATCGAAAAACAAAAACCGATGTGCACAACTTCAATCCTTCTATTATCTAAAATCAGTAGAATTTCTGCTCCAGCTTTAGCCGTCTCTGAGCCTTTGTCTGGAAACGAAAGCCTATAAATTTTCATTTAAAGGGAAATAACTCAAAACCGGAAGTGACTTTTTGAAATTTTCGACAGCATTCTGATAGAGTTTAGTAACTTCTAGAACCTCTGAAAATTTGAGTGAAATCAATTTAGAAATGAGTGAGATATGAGGCTTCAAAGTTGGCGTCTAGGAAGTAGAAGAAAAAAAAAAAGAATAATAATCTTTACCAACAGAATCAGTAGAAGGTCTTCCGTTGGAGACGGAAGACCTTAATTAACATAAGAAAGAAGAAAAAATGTTAATTTTACAAACTGATCGACCCAAAATAATTGAAATGTATAAAACATAAACATCCAATTCCTTTAATCGGTAATTTCATTTTACACAAGTGAGGAAAATGGGGCATGTTTACCTCTTCGGTCAATTTAACTCCCTATTAAAATGAATGCTTCTTAAAATTTTATCAATAAATTAAGACAACATATATATTACTTTAAATTAAAGAACAATCTCTGTTTGTGTCAAAAAAATGAAAATGCCAATAAAAAAAAAACCATAAATAAATTTTCTACAAATTATAAAATTTTTCAATATTAAAGGATAACAATTTTACTTTTTCTTAAAAGTGTAAGTCCTTTTTGATAATACATGTATTACAAAAATAACACCCCAAATTTCCACTTAAAATCTTTAAAAAATTTCTAAATGTAAGATCTCATATTTCACTTATTTGAAATCTTTACGCACCTTTGGATCCCCTCCTTGGTTGACATAGAAGTATTTCTGAGGTTCCCGGGCTAGCTTGTACTCCTTTAATTTCTCGTCCTTGGCTCCGTACAGTAGCTGGTAAAATGAGTGGAAATTTCTCTCTCCTGCCTGCTGATGGACTACGCGTGACTGAAAAAAAAAACCGAAAATGTCTTCTAGAGAAAATACTATCTAATTATGCAATAATGTACCCCACTCTCTCTTTTTTTTTCTTGGAGATGAAATATTAGGCCAGGGGGCCAAAAATAAAACCTTCGACCAGCTCACTTTTGACCTCAGTTTTACTTTTTCAAAATCATTATGGATTAATAGCAGAAAAGTAAGACTATATGATAGCTCAGTGAGCTCATCTCCATTTTATGGCCCCAGAGTCAGATTGAAAAAAGTCAAAGAGAGCTATAATATTGCTGGTAATACTTACCTTTTCTAATAAGTAGTTATTGATATGCCCCCCTATGGGATCCCCTTTGAAGTCAAAGTTGATGTCCATGTACTTCCCAAAGCGACTGGAGTTATCGTTCCTGTTTGTCTTGGCATTCCCAAAAGCCTCCAAGATGACATTTGACTTTACCAAGACGTCTTTAACCCTGTTAAGGTAGCATTATTTATATTATTCACACATTCAAACTGATAAAATATTTAACATATATTTTTCTACTAAAATTAAAGACGTTTTGATACCATAGGATGTAACTTCTAAATCTCATAGGAGCATTAATTATACATGTCCAATACAGAAAATATAAATCAATTTTATTGCATTTTACATAATATATACAAAGTGTTAAATTCTAAGCATCAAGAAAAGCATTAGACAATAACTAGTAATAGCAAATCATAAGAATTTTCCTATTATTTTTCAATTATGCAGGGAATTTCAGGGGGGGGGGGGGCATTTCTGGGTATGCATCAAAATATGAGTTCTAAAGTTTGAACATTAATGTACATGTAAAAAATATATGATAAATGCAATGCAAAATTTTTATTTATTATTAATAAGCATAAAAATGGCACACAAATATTGACATGAACTGACATGAAACGGATTTTTTCTCTCAAGTAATTATTAATCATGTTGTTATTTATCTTTATTTATTCATAATTAAAATACAAATTTTAAGTTAGGAAGAAAACAGCTGCTGTATTTTAAGTAGACAACTGATACATAATAACCAATGTAGATTAGGTGGACAACGCATGCTGATCATGAATAACATTGATATACAGGTGACATCTTTATTGTGTTTTTTGTTCTGCAAGCAAGATTACAAGTCAAGAGAAGTAAAAAGCAAACTGGTCAATATGTACATATATAGATCTATACTGTAGATAACTTAATTTCTGAATCAACATGTGCAAGAAGATATCAACCCCCAATCCCCACCCTAAAATCTATGCATTGATAAAATCAGATATTAAAATGAAAGGAAGCTGCTTTCTTTATGCAAAGTGCATGCAATTTTGGTTAATTAAAAGATTAATAATTTTTTCCTAAAATAAGAAGTGAATTTGAATTGCCTGCTTTAGGCCATCATTATAAATATTCTGCTGAGGAAATACTTGAGACAAGATGACAGAGTCTGAAATAAAGTTCAATTTAAAATTTACAGAAGAAAGTTACATAATTTAGAGAACTGCAGCGTTAGGTCCCTGCAGTGCAAGAGAATTGTTTAATCATTGACATGCAGAGTTCTACAGCAATGTTCTGTACTCAACCTCTCTATCTCATTTCGACTGTAAAATCACCCATTACTCATTAAAATCATGTAAACAAATTCAATACTTTACAATTAACATGATTAATTAGTTAATATATACTTATTATGCAAAAAGTTCTTCAGCGCATCCTACATTTAACAGCAGGAAATTTACTTCTGAATCAATAAAAATTATGAAGAAGTTCATGAATTGGCTGTTTATAATGTTGATTGAAAATATTTTCAAAATATTACAGGATATATCCATTTTTTTTTTAATTCAAACCATTATTCAATGACTGTATTTATTGGTTAGCTAGCATTCCTCTACTTAAAAAAATACACATTCTATTAGCATGATTAGCACTAAAAATCCAGATTATCATAAAATATGAAAAATCATTCATTTTACTATGCTGGTAATTTAAAAGCAAATAATACAAAAATTTAACAGCAAACACACTCTCTGCATAGAGTCTATAAAGTCTAATGTCTATAAAGGCTACTCATTCAGACAAGGTCATGAAGACTGACAATTTGCTAGGTCATGATGACTGACAATTTGCCGTTTACCTTTCCACTTCCTTCTGGCCCCCCACGTTGGTTACGGCAGCGATGTACCTCATGATGATTTTGGAGGCTTCTGTCTTGCCTGCTCCAGATTCACCTAAAACAGAGAGAAAACGATTAAAATTTAGAATACAGTAAATCCTCAATATGTGGAATTCAATGGGATCAAGAAATAACTTATGAGGATTCCAGATTTCCAGGGTAAAATACTAAGAGAATAAAGAGACATTAAGACTTGCAAATCACTTCAACATATATGTAGCATGATGTAGTGATGATATTCAAGACTTTGGTATTTGAAATGTATCTAAGTTCAACATGTTCAATGCAAATACATGTACCATATTGTTTTTTCTAATTTTTAGATTTGGATATCTGTAGGTGACTTAATCATGTTAATTAAAGAGGATTAATAGAGCAGCAGATAATAAAAATATCGAACAGAGAATTTAAACTAACTGAATCAACAAACTGTTAAGAAGGTAAAATCATACATTTTTGTTTGGTCAAATTTTCATGTGAGAGAAAACATAATATTGGGTTCTTTGGGATTAAATTTTATAGATGTATCGTTGAGTATTATTTTTCATTTGAATATAATTTGATATTTAAAACAATATTTAACATGTTTATACATTTTACAAAGTCAAACTACAGAGGAAGATGTACATGTATCAATTATATTGCAAAAATTTAATGTTTGAATATGCTAGACATGGTAGACATTTCTATGCTGTCTTTAAAAATGCTACTTTTGAAGCTGTGCCTTGTTACATCGAAAGATTCACCAATCAGAGATAGCTTTACAATATCTTTCCTTCAGCTGATCAGCAAATTCAGTGCTGGCAACTCCAAGGTAATGTTATATTTAGTGCATTTAACACATTGAATCACAAGGAAATAAGAGAATGCTTGAACAATGAGTCCATACATAACACTTATGTATATCATATAACCTTTGAGAGCAAACAGGAATTTAAAAAGGCAATGAAGAGGAAGGTATTGATTATGATCAATATCCTCTGTTTAAAATATATGTAAAAATATAATATATGAGGGTTGATCCAAAAGTTCATGGAATTTCTGCATATTTTATTTATAAGTGAAATTGGTTGAAAATTACAAATAAGAATATAGACACTTGTTGAATATTTTAAAATAGAAAATAATTTTAAATTACATATTTGTGATATTAACTCTATGACAGTTACCATAGAAACGAATGTTTGGAAATGCAGGGGAGACAACATCGCATTTATTATCATTTTAATTCATTATACTTGAAATGAGAATAAAACCACCCTATGTGTTTTAGAAAACAAAAATTATGTCATTATTATAATTGCTTGATCTTTTATAAACTTTTGTGTGAGAGTTTTACCGATTATACTGGACATGCTGGATATCTAGTTTATTAGTTGATAATTTATTGTTCATCTTAGGTTGTTAGACGACGCCAAATTTCCGTCAAGTCATAAGTTTTGTGAAAATCCCTGGATCATTTTATCTTGAATGCGTATATCATTGACATAGACTGGGGAAAATGCATTAAGTTACTGGTTTTCCAGTGTTGTAAGAAATTGAAGAAAAATAGAACTTCCATGGACACTGATTAGAGGTGTGGCCGCCTTTTTGAGGCTCTGTTTTAAGTGTTTATCCCCCTAGACAAATTAAAAGTGTTAATAGACATTGTCGGCTGATGTACTGTTCTTGACATTGCTACTGAAATCGGAACATCATATAGAAAGATGGGGAGTATTTTGATATATGAGTGAAAAATGAGGATAAGTTGGTGTGACAGGATACCAAGGCTTTTCTTGAGAAAAAAAATGGAGAAAAGGGCAGCATTTTGTAGAATTACGTGTTCGAATTGGACATTAGCATGAGATGCTTCTATAACGTAACATGACATACCTAGCTTGACGTTACGTCGAAGTCTCCCCCGGGTTTCATAACTATCCATTTTCAGAAAGCCCGTGTGACTTTATTGGTAATTGGAACGGGGTGAAATTTTCCAGCATTGTTGCATTACGACTCTATATTATAAATATGCCTATTATTTGCTTTTATCAAATCACGATAAAATTTTAGAAAGAAGTTCCACGAACTTTTGGATCAACCCTCGTATATAGATGTACCTTCCAAAATAAATGCACCCAATACAGCCAATAGCATAACCCAGATTGATATTACAGTGAAAACTGTCTAATCCGACACCTGTGTAACATGTCACACTGTGAATTCCGACATAAAATTGTTTTCCCATTTAACATGTTTTACTAATTTTAATGTTATTTTAAATTTTGAAATCCAACACAAAATTTGTCTCCCAGTGCTTGTCGGATTCGACAGGTTTCATTGTACTTTCTTGAGAAAAAGAAAAACTTCTCTTATGTAAAAACGAATGCTAACAGGGAATTATTGGTGTTTAATGTCATCATGCCTCAGTCTTTAGCATACAGATGATACTACATGTACATCTTTTTTAGGGATCATAAACATCCATGATGTACATGGGAAAAAATCTTCAAGATCTTCACAAAATAAACCCAGTCTGGTTACAAAGCAACATTAATTTAATCAGTCTTTGCCCCTCACTGATCATGCAGATGTTTAATTAAAAAAAAAAAGTCATGGTAATAAACTTCCAATGTTCATCAATTAGAAAGTTATAGATAGAATACAACTTTAACACTTTTCTCTCAGTGGCCTTGAAGTTTCCAAAAATGACCTTGTGGGTATGTATTGACCTATGATCAATCCAGCAAGTCATTGGCAAAAAGTATCTTTTGTTTCATGTCTGTAACTCTTCGTTGGAAGCTATCTGGCAGCTGATTCTTCACATAAGAATGATTATGACATAAGGGTGCATCTTGATCTAAGCCAAGGTCATCTTGGAAACTTCAAGGTCACTAAGAGAAAAAGTGTTTAAGTTGTGTTTTGTGGCTTATGACCTGAGGGTGTGTCATGATCTTGACTCAAGGTTTTCTGGGAAGGTCAAGGTTGCTGGCAGAAAAAGTCTTAAATTTTTGTCTGGTTTGGAACTTCCTTCAGGAAAAACATTGAAATTTCCTACTTGAAACAAACCTGAAGGGTCCTGATCGGCCAATTTTGGGACTAGTATAAACCATAATGTTCTCCATTTAAAGATATGACAAGAACAGCTATAGGAATAAAAAAAATTTTTATGTGGCCTTGAACTTCAAAAATGATCTTGTGTCAAGGTCATGAAATTATCCTTCAGGTCATATACAATCTTTGTTTGAAGAAGGATATTCTCTCCTTTCAACTTATTGATAAATGTACATCCAGACTTCAAAGGGAAAATTGATCAGAGAAGGGCAGATTTGACAGATTGACTGGAGTGCATCAAAAAAATCATTTTTTTAGTGTTGGCCCTACAGCATCTGCTGTAGTAAAACTTTTAAGATCTGGAGCACCTATAACATTAACTCAGCAATACTGCACCTGATATGACTATACACGTGTCTCGGCTCTGTCTCTTCATGGTTTTGTACGCAGAGTCTGCCAAGGCAAAAATGTGGGGCGGCCTCTCGTAAATTTCCCTCCCTTTGTATTCGTCGACATAATTGGGGTTGTATATGTCCACAGTCTTGTATGGGTTCACTGACACCACCACTTCCCCTATGTATGTGTAGATTTTATTCTTACTGTATCTGAAAGAGAAAATGAAAACATGAACATGATGAAGGTGTACATCTGTACTACAAAAAAACAAGAGGCCCATGGGCCACATCGCTCACCTGAGAAGCTTTGACCATTCTGTTCTTTACCAGATTTCCCCCTTGTTACACATAATGCATCCCCACTCTACCCCACTGATCATAATTTAGACATTTTGAAATCTACACTACCCCATGATCCTTCCATGGGCACATATGTTTCAGCTTTTTTGGCCCAGTGGTTCCTGAGAAGAAGATTTTCAAAGATTTTTTCTATATATTTCTATGTAAAACTTTGATTCCCCTATAATGGCTCCGTCCTTCCCCCGGGGGTCATGATTCCTACAATTTAGAATTTACACTACCCCAGAATGCTTCCACATAAGCTTCACTTTTTCTGGCCCAGTGGTTCTTGAGAAGAAGATTTTCAAAGATTTTTTCTATATATTTCTATATAAAACTTTGATTCCCCATTGTGGCCCCGCCCTTCCCCCGGGGGTCATTATTTGAACAATTTAGAATCTACATTATACCAGGATGCTTCCACATAAGTTTCAGCTTTTCTGGCCCAGTGGTTCTTGAGAAGATTTTCAAAGATTTTTCCTATATATTTCTATGTAAAACTTTGATTCCCCATTGTGGCCCCGCCCTTCCCCCGGGTGTCATGATTCCTACAATTTAGAATTTACACTACCCCAGAATGCTTCCACATAAGCTTCACTTTTTCTGGCCCAGTGGTTCTTGAGAAGAAGATTTTCAAAGATTTTTCCTATATATTTCTATATAAAACTTTGATTCCCCATTGTGACCCCGCCCTTCCCCCGGGGGTCACTATTTGAACAATTTAGAATCTACATTATACCAGGATGCTTCCACATAAGTTTCAGCTTTTCTGGCCCAGTGGTTCTTGAGAAGAAGATTTTCAAAGATTTTTCCTATATATTTCTATATAAAACTTTGATTCCCCATTGTGGCCCCACCCTTCCCCCGGGGGTCATGATTTGAACAATTTAGAATCTACATTATACCAGGATGCTTCCACATAAGTTTCAGCTTTTCTGGCCCAGTGGTTCTTGAGAAGAAGATTTTCAAAGATTTTTCCTATATATTTCTATGTAAAACTTTGATACCCCATTGTGGCCCCGCCCTTCCCCCGGGGGTCATGATTTGAAAACAATTTAGATTCTACACTACACCAGGATGCTTCCACATAAGTTTCAGCTTTTCTGGCCTAGTGGTTCTTGAGAAGAAGATTTTCAAAGATTTTTCCTATATATTTCTATGTAAAACTTTGATTCCCCATTGTGGCCCCACCCTTCCCCCGGGGGTCATGATTTGAACAATTTAGAATCTACATTATACCAGGACGCTTCCACATAAGTTTCAGCTTTTCTGGCCTAGTGGTTCTTGAGAAGATATTTTTCAAAGATTTTTCCTATATATTTCTATGTAAAACTTTGATTCCCCATTGTGGCCCCACCCTTCCCCCGGGGGTCATGATTTGAACAATTTAGAATCTACACTACCCCAGGATGCTTCCACATAAGTTTAAGCTTTACTGGCCCAGTGGTTCTTGAGAAGAAGATTTTTTAATGACCCAACCCTATTTTTCTCTTTTCTTGATTATCTCCCCTTGCGAGGGGATATGTCCCTTCATTTTAACAATTTAAATTCCCCTTCACCCAAGGATGCTTTGTACCAAGTTTGGTCAAAATTGGCCCAGTGGTTCTTGAGAAGAAGTCGAAAATGTGAAAAGTTTACAGACGGACAGACGGACGGACGGACGACAGACAAAATGTGATCAGAAAAGCTCACTTGAGCCTTCGGCTCAGGTGAGCTAAAAAGGAACCGAAGACTGATAAAATTAGGAATTTTCATTTTTTGACACCTGTCCCCCTGGGAATGGTACACTAATGACTATAAATGCATGCTGAATTTTGAACTATATAAGCATATAAGCACATCTGACAGTTCTACATGTACATGATTTATTATTTCTTGAAAAATTATCGGTGTGTAAGATGCATCCTTATATATGTTGCATATGATCTTAAATCATGCTTTCGACACAATTTCATTTTAAAAAAACAAATACCAGATAGTTGACATGGTTGAATATGGTCAAATACATTTTTCACATATTTCAAGTTCACTCCAAAAAATGCAAAAAGGATGGTAATTTTAGGGTTTTAAATTTACTTCAGTATAATTAACTACAAGATCACATGAATTTCTGAATCAAGGCTAAATTGACAAACTCGTAAAGTTCCTTTAACCATGTTAACAATATACATGGGGCAGACAGATAAAAGCCAGGATTTTATTTGAGAAGGGGGAGGAAATTTGCGTTCACATACTTAAGACGTCAATAAACATTGTAACCCCCACCTCAATGTGAGTCAGGCCCTCAGGGCCTCGATTCTTTGTCACATAAACTCTTTACTTTGTAGACTTTATCTACAAACATGTGCTTGTAGTTTGCTACCTAGCTTAGAATTGTAACAATCTTTCTATAAATTTCTGGTTTTACGTACTAGGTATACCTATACTTCCTGCTTTTGATAGCAACCAATGCTGTGTTTTTTCTTTATTTGCAATAGATCCCATTAGCCTACACTAATGAAAAAGATGGACATTTTGTCCTTCTTCATGTTAACTTAAGCCCGCTTTTCTTCCTTAATTAACATATCTATTTAAATGAAAATTTTTTTGTGATCATTACTATTTATAAACGATAAAAGGTTTTTGCCTCCCTTCCTTTCTATTTGCTGTCAAAAAATTGGATGATGTTGACGTAGAAGCATTAGTTCCCTATTACATTTCTTGTAGCTTTTGAGTTTCATCAGTGCAGATACCTGCATTTACAGGTATATTTACAATGTCACCTATACGTGCTATATGTATGTTCAAGATTATATTTTTTAAACAACATTCTGAAAAGCCATAGGGTTCAATTTTTTCTTATACATGTTAATGAAGTCTATGATATAAATGTAAGCATCGTGAACCCTTTGAGAGAGAGAGAGAGAGCATTTCTAGAGATTCCCAGAAAAAAAAACATTGAATCTCATATTGATTAATCCACAAAGCTGCATGCCTTCAGGAATGATCAAATCAGGTGTACAAAGGTGTGATCAGCCGTAGACTATATTTATGTTAAGGTAGATAAAATCAGGTAAAAATAACAGAGACCACAAACAGTTACTGGCCGGGCCAGAAATAGGTTGGTCCAATACACATCTCGTTACTGGTGGGCCCCAGGTGTATCGTAAAGACAGCGATAGACAGGCATTATTGATCTATCTGATAGGTAATGTGTCGGAAAACAATTAGGAAATGGGGGCTACCAAATGGGCAATATCAACTCTTGAATGAACAAATGGCTTATTATAGGTGTAATGGTCGTATAAAGATGTATGTTTTTGCATGTTTTATGGTGTTTCAATGTTGCTTACGCATTTTCATGCTGGTAACAATTGCAGCTGCTTGTGCGGATGATGTTTTCTGTGTTTTAAAGGGCTGATGTTGAAACATATACATACATTCTATGCAACAAATGTATACATATATCATGTATATATACATGTTCACACACTGTCAGCATGGTCAGTGATATTTCTACTGCATAATCATTAATGCATACACATAAAAAAATGGTGGTTGCAAGTATTTTTTTGAGAGCATAAATTTTCTTCAGAAGTTAAAATACTTCCAATGCACACCAGGGCAAATAAGAGTCACTGTATATGCTTTAAGTTTAAACATGTTAAAAACATACACAAGGCAATGAATGTCCTTCATCAACATAATATGAGTGCTACGTACAGTTGTGTTTTTCTTTTCAACATGTGAACTCTGATGTAGGTAATGCTGTAAATTTCCCGGTTCCTGGCTATTTATATCTACTAAAACACTCAGGAAAAGCATGGCTGCACAGTGTACAACATAGAGAGGTTTTTTTTACATTCCTCTAAACATGTATCTTTAATCATGTTTACAAACAATTGTACAAAATGTCTTGTGTATTGCTACTAAATATATTACATGTACTCTTATCAGTCACCATGCATGAGTGCAACATTCCTGCAACTCTTAAGTATAAATATAAATTTCATAATTTCTGAAATCACTGTAAATGCAAATTACCAAAAAATTAATGCATTTCAGAATCATGATAATTAACATCAAACATTTTACAATTTCAAGAAACTCTTCCCCCCTCAAACGAGTCAAAAGTTTATCAAGGCAAAAGGGTAATAGGATGTAAGTCCCCATTGTTATGTTGGATTACGTACATTAAGTGCACTTGACTTTTCTCTAGAACTTCCCGTTAGTAATAGATATTAAGTATACGCACTTCGGAGAGGCTTATACATGAATGTGTAAACTCTTAAGATGAATAAGCATGCAGAGAGTTGCAGCAATTTTCATATGTAGACATGTAATATAAAGCACTGTTGCTCATCACTAACACATTTATAGAAATTCAAAAAAAAAGTTCATTGATTGAAATTTCAAAACATGTTTAAGTTAATCCAGTTCCTTTATCAACATGACCAGGGAAGTTAAGTACCATAGTATATCTTTTTGGATCAGCATTTCTAGTTTAACTAGTTTGTGCCTATACTTCCAAATTACTGGCATTATTTTTCAACGGTGAACTTACAAATGTAATATGAAAATATCGAACTTAACACATTTTGAACCCCTGTATGGTGACAAGCATGTGTAATTTTGACAAGTTCTTGAAATTAAGAACAATACTAGTCTTCATGGTCTTATACTCATCGTCATGGTCTTGAAACAGAAATTTTGCAGATGAGAATAATGTATGTATGATATCTTAATATTATAACCAATGAAATATTTTTTTTCAAATAGGGTACTCTTGCAAGTGTTTCTCAGAATCATATATATTTTCGTGGGGTCAACTTTTCATGGTTTCAGGAAGAAAATATGGGTTTGTTTTTTGGATCTAGTATATGCGGTGTAAAATAAATTTAATTGACATATAGAAAGACATGCACATATCATAATTTTTTCATTGCTCATTCTATATTTCATACAGGACTATGAAGCATGGTAGAATTATTGTCTATTAAGTAGAGTATAGATACTCAGTTACTCAGGTAAACATGGTAAACCAGGCATTCCACCTGATCATCAATCAATGATAGAAAATAAATGTCTGTTACACACCATGATGACCTCAATAAAGTCACACTTTGTCAATGTGTACATGTACACGAAAGCATACAGTATTGGCGTGGTACTTATTCCTATGTTATTCATGTTTATTTAGAGCGGAAGTTGTGGGTTTAAGAACGAAGTGGGTATAATTAAATCAGTGTTTTTACGGGAAATATGTTAAAGGAAACATCGGAAAAATCATGTTGATTAGTCTTTATTCATTAGTAATAACACATGAGTAATATATAATCATTTTTCTTCATTTTTACATGTTTAAAGTAAATAATGTAATGTGTAATTGGAAAAAAGAAGATATGATATGAATTAAGTTTTTTTTTAATCCATGCACTTGCTTTGACATGAAAATATGGAATTTTAATTTTATTTTTTATTTTTAATTGTTTGACGGATCAAAACAAAAAAAAGACATTTTATACACGTATACACAACCTTACTTTTTCGAAAAAAGGGGGAAATGAAATTTTTTTTCATTGGAACACTGTGTTTAGTTCAATTTAATTAAAACAAAACACATATGTAAGAACATGAAGAATGCAGGTTCACAATGGGTACCGGTTCATCATGTTCGCAAGATCTTTACAATGATCTGTTAGTGTAACCCGATACAAGGCCACTAGGCGTGGTTAAATACCTTCAACTTCTGTCAACAGATTTGTTCTCATGAATGAAATGCCGTAAAACACATGTGTTCCTTGAGCCGGCACATGTATATTTGCAAATAAAATGAAATTTCTGCACCTCGTCGGCGAAAATGAAAATGAATATTCGGTGTTTACGAAAATACTTACCGCAGTTTTAAATTTTCCATAAACGCATCAAGCGTTAAATCATGCAGCAAAACAAAGTCCCCGACCCCAAACTCGGGGCCTTCGTGAATACTCCCAGCCATTTCTACACAGATTTCTTGTGATTTCACATATTATTAATTCAAATAAGAAATAATCAGAAACTCATACTGATTAACGGAGATAAGCAAATCATTAAGTAAGTCGTACGGGTGTTACGCTTAAGAAATTAGTTAACTCGTACTTCTTTCTGTCGAAAGCATTAACGGCGCGACTGTCAAATGGGGCATTTAGCTATCGGCATAATGATATCAAAATTTGATAGCCTATAAATAATCACAATTAGGAAAAATTCTACTGATAAACTTCTCAAATCAGTCTCCGACTCGTTTTTCCGATGTTTAAAACCTCAGTGCAGTAGACCTACAGATATCACAAGTTTGCAAAATTACTAGATTTAGACAGACACACACCCCTCTCTTATATGTCTCTGATTTAGTTCTAGACCGATTCATAAAATAACAAGTTCTGATTCTCCCGTATGGAGCTAATATATATTCATGGCGAAGTTTAAAAGTTTCTCAAATGCAAATCTAAATTCAAGGTGAAGATTTTGAGATAACAAGCAAATTCAAGGAATTGTGGTCCCCCGCTTTCGGTATCTTTGTGGGTGAGATGACATTTTATAATGACATATTGTGTGTAATATAAACACCCTATCATATGATATGTCATTTATTTAGAAATCATCACTGAACTCCAAGGTCAAGGTCAAAGGGTTAAAGTTCTTGGTATCCAATGAAAAATCTTCTCAGAAGGATTACATATGTGAAGTATGAAAGCCCTGGCCCTTGCCATTCAAAAGTTATGGTCAAGGTTAAAGTTTTTTCATAAGTACCAAAAATCTCCAAGGTCAAGGTCAAAAAGGTCAAGGTTGTTGATATCAAATGAAGGTCTTGCCACAAAGAAACGTTTATGAAATTTGGAAGTCCTAATATCTACTGTCAAGGTCATGCAATAGATCAAAATTGTTGGTATCCAAAATAATGTTCTTAATCCTCTTAACACTTATAATTAACTTGATCTATAAAAATCTTGATACCATGCTCCAAGAACATAAACTGAGAACAGTTTTTTAAAATTCAAATAATACTTAACACGATCCCCCCCCCCCCCAAAAAAAAAAAAAAATTAACCTATAGAATTTTTGATTTAAAACTGTTTTCATTAGTTTATGTCCTTGTGGTCTATATGTAGTAAAATAGAAAATATGAGACTTTACTAAGTTGGGTTATTAACTGCAGACAATTCCAGAGAGGGACACTTGTAGTCCCAATTGAAATACACGATCGAAATTTTCATGTTTAAAAACAGGAGTTCATTACATCACATTTACATGTATATTGTACGGTTACATATGTGAGCACACTCTTAATTACTATAAACTCTTCATTCTATGGGAGGTTAAATTCGAGGTACTGGGAGCACTAAGCTCACAAAATTATAGCCTCGCCTCCCATATGACTATAATGGCCAAGTCCATCGTTTGCTATGGGACATCCGAAATAAGTGTCAGATCAGATGAAATTTAATTAAATAGGAGGTGCAATACATGCGTTGATCTAGAGGGGTAGGGGGTCCAGACTCCCTTGAATTTGAAGAGTTATTAAATGTAAAACCAAGTAAAAGTGATTTTGGACCCCCTAGGAAACGCCAAACTTTTCTAGAAAACACAGATCTGCATGTGTTATGTTGGTATGAAAAGTCCTAAGTATGAAGCTTTAAATAAAAGTCAACGACTAACCAACCCCCTCCCCCCCGAAATAGGATTTTACGTCTGGGAAAGGAGGGGGGGGGGGGTACTTGTCAGAAATTTTCTGGGTCGGAAATTTTTTTTAACTAGGGTGATCTCTCATAGCTTGAAAAAAAAATCCTGGATCCGTGCCTGCAATATTAAATAAAGAATCTGTAAAAGTATCATTAAATTTTTTCAGTGATATAGGACCTAGAGTTCTGAAGGAAAGATGGATACATGTACGTCTCATTATTATAGAAAGAATGACAAAGTTTTACGCATAATGTTAAAACACCCACACTGAAATAAAAAATCTACCTTTCTATCCGTGAAAAGAATAAGTAAGGGGTGCCCTATATAAGAAACCAGCGCCCATGAATAGAATTCCCAGTTCCACCGTGTATAAGGGGCACATGTGGGGTTTCGGTTAAGTAACATATGGGGGTTTCAACTCCGAAGCGGTGATTTTTTGCATTGGAAAATATATTTGTAAAAATCCTTTGCTAATGAATTCTTCGGGGCCAAATGACATGTGCACGGGTTGTAAGAATGTATTACCTTCAAATTTAGTGCAATAGGCTGGTTGAAAGCGTTACGGATTCTGCAAACACTTCTGGACAGTTCAGTCGACTGGGAAAAGTTGTGGTGTCGCTGACATTCTTTGTTCTATGATTTTCAAAAGCGGACCTTTAAAGCTCATTTTAAGAATGATAGATAAAGATTGATATAAAAACAATCCATGAAAACTTTTTTCACCTTTAACAGTCTCTATTTCTGTTAGAAATATAAACTTTTGTGGCCAAATTCTACTGTGCCTAACGGGGTTTCAAGGTTTGTTAAAATAGGGTGTTTCAACTCAAAGGCTTTTTCTATGTTTAAATCTTTGCTTTCTTTCAAAAATATGGATTTCGTCCATTTACCACGAAATAAAAATGAATAGTCATATGTTAGGCAAAAAGTTAGGTTGTCACAAAGATGAACAGATGTGAAAGCTCACTGAAGAGACAGGTTGCGTCTCATACACAAAGAAAAATTTTCTGTAGTAAATATGGGAAGAAATTTGCACGTAGCATTGGAAGCACTTCTCCCAAGCATAACATTTTACTACTGAAATTCTTCTTTGAAAACTCCCGCTTTTGTTGCGGTACCGTCAAATAATGGTATCGAAGAGTAGTGCATGAATAAAATTTGGTACTGAAAAGTGAAACTTAACCCCCCCCCCCCCGCCTCCTTCACAAAATAGTAAAAAATCTTTTTGTTTGTGCAGAGTTTTTTTTTGGTTAGTATTTTTTCTCTGACCCCTATTAAAAATTTGAGAAGGATGCTATGTCCCTGTATTGCCATAGAAATATGCTTTGTTCCTCTCGTGCGTCTTTACCAGATTCAAAATTAAACCTCCTTCCCACATATTAAAGGAAACACAGTGTTTATGAGACGCAATGTGCCTCTCTGTGAAACTGATTTATTTGATTAAACGCCTTCTTTTACATAAATGTATTCAATGGCGTTGTACACGCAGTAACATTGTTTACAAATATTTCCATTTCTAATTTCTTTCTCTGTGATAACTCTTTGAAAGTTAGCGGAGTTGATTTCTTGATAATTCTACTGGAATGTAAACTAGGCAGGTCAATAGCACAGGAGCTAAGAAGGCCTAATATGCATGCAAGTCCTGTGCGCATCTGTCTCTGTATCTAGTGCTAAGGAGGCCAAATATGCATGTAAATCTCGTGCGGCTGCCTTTGTGTTTAAGGTCACTGGGCGAGGACTATTGAAATCGGCATGGGAGTCCTCATGTAATTAAAATCTATGTCTACATTTTAAAGTATAAATCTACAATTCATTTCACAATGAAATGGAAATATAAGGAATCACTATCTACTTACATGTAGTTTAATATGCCATGTTTCACACTATCGTTGATGCCCTGGCATACTATACTAACTAGACAGTGATTCCTTAAATATACATGGAGAGCAATGATTAAAATAAGTCCCTAAAGAAGTGATTTTTTTGAAGTTGTTGTTGAAAACATCAATAGATTTTGATTGATTAATATGCAAAGGTAGTTCGTTTCATAATTTTAGGTACATGTACAATGTTACTAAAATTCCGGTCGCTGAACTCTTTTCTTACATTCAATGGGACTGTATAACAGTCTTCGGAAAATCGGGAAAACCCAATTATTTATTTGAATTTTATTTGCGCCAGTGTTTTATGTACGACTTGCTTAATGTAGTAGTGTGTATAATATGCGTATATAATAAATAAGTGTTTTAAATTTAATGTAAATAAATTAAACTACCATAATAGATAAAAGTATAAAAAGCTTGATCCGCTCCTTTATATCCTTAGCCCTTTACCTGTACACCTGTATATAGATAATTAGTTACCTTAGGGCAGTTCAAAGGTTTTGGAGTGTTATTGGTTCTTATTGGTAGTTTGGTTGTCAAGTTGATTTTCATTGGTTTTATTCTTATGGTCATTGGTTTTACCGCCAAAATATTCATTCTTTGTCTTGTTGAGTTAATGACCAAGACTGTATTTTATGGACTCCATGACTTTGACTTTTGGAGACTGACAAATTCCATTTTCTGGTAAGTACTAACTTTCCTTATTACTAATTGTCAAGTAATATGTCTATTCCATAGATTTGCATTTATTAAAGATCTCAATTTCACTTCATATTAATTGAATGTATGACCATGAGAGAAAGATGTTATTTTTATGATTGGAATTATTGATTGTAAAGATCAGTAATGTATTATATTATAAGTGTAAATTGTTATATTCAAGTTACACCTTATATTTTTAAGATCCAGATATTTGGTTACTTTGTTCAAAGTGAACAGATGATTTTATTTTAAAGGAATATATATTTTAATGTATACTGTATTAAATTACAGAGTCCATATACATGTTGTGTAAAAAGCTGTAAACATCACACATTCTTGTGGAAGCCTTTTCCCACAGAATGGTGAGGAATTATTTGTTTTAATTAGTACTATTTTTTATGCCTTTATATGGGAGAAAATATGTAATGTCCATATATTGACTATAAGAGTTATCTCCCTTAATTGAGAGTAAATGTACATATATGTATATCATCTATAATATATCATTATGAATATGTTACTATGAGAGCTACATGTATAGATGATTAATAGGATTGATTTGATGTGCTATTATATTGTTGTTTTATTATATTTCAGGGCTGTTAACATTAACATTTGTTATGCTCACTGTGTCGAATAAATATATGACCTGAACCCTGACAGAGGAGTACGTGTTGTTCTTCATCACAACCCCCTGTTAACTATGAGGAACTCTTGTTTAAGGAGATCTTTTTTGCTTACTATTGCTTTATGTTTTTGGAGCCAAAACTTGTTGTATAAAAA